CTGGAGTCTAGGTCACGGTGGCTTCCTGTCCTGACAGTTACCCAGCTGGAACTGCAGTCATGAAAGGGAGATGCAGAGCCTGGCCGTGGGCCTCCGCCCTAGGATTACTCTTGTCATTGGCCTGAGCCGCCCACAATCCACCTGAACAGAGAGGAGGGGTCTCAGAGGGAGGAAGGGGGCCTTCCCAGCAGCGTCTGTGCCCAATCGTGACCCTTCAGACGCAGCGTGTCAGAGCCGCCGGGAGCTCAGCTGCGTGAGGCACCTGTGTGCAGACCAGTAATTTAGGATCTTCCCAAGGAGACCACCGAACTCGTTTATCGTGTGAGTCACGCTCACCTTTTGCCCGGTAACACTGGAGACCTTAATTCTACTAGATGTCATTAGGACCCGTTGTTTAATTTAAATTTTGCAGCAGAGCGGTGGGTCTAGTGGTCAAAGTCTGTTCTTAAGATAATGAAAAATAATAGCAGGTCCTTTATTTCATTCTATTAATAATTGACTTAAGTTTAAGTAATTTTTAAGTGTTTTAAAATCTGATTTATGCATTATGTCACAGAGCATGTAAATGGACTGTTAAAACCCATTGATTTGGGCAAAATGAGTTTCTATGTTGAAAAGAAAAAAATAAGATTTTTTTTTTTGGAAAGTGTCAAACAGCATGAAGAATTAAGTATTATTGTTAAAAACAAACTGGAGAGAGAAGGAATGTATCTGTTTGCTTTAGTTTGTGGTCATTTTTTTCATTGCTAATCCCCCGGATTGTGACTAATGTATCAGATGTGCACAGCACGAAATATCTGTTAATCTTAGAGACAGGGGAAGAAATTTTTCCTCTACATTTTCAGACTTCTGAAACGAAATAGATTTTCAAGGTAAAATTTAAGAAACGACAAAATTTTCTTCTTAGTTTGTAATTGCTGCTAGCATATTTCTAAGTCATGAATATTCCAGTAAAGTGAAATAATGTCACTTAAGTGACGATAAATAGTAGCTCAAGAAGAGAACCGCTATTCCCTGAAGCCCTGGTGAGCTCTGACCTTGGACAGCTTTGCCTCCCTCCTGGGTCTAGGCTGGACCGGTCAGGCCACGGCCACGTTGGTAATGCTCAACCTGCCAACTGAGGGGAAAAATCTCTTTTGAACCTACTTCTCAAAGTGCAGAGAACCAACTCCTGTGCAGCTGAGCACAGAGAGAAGCTTGGCAGGGTCGTCTCTAATTTCTTTTTCTTTTTGAACCATTTGGTGAACCACCATCTCCTTTCCTAAGCAAGGCAGGGATGCCCTGAGAATCACACTTGCAAAGCCAGCCGGGTCCCATGAGGCCTTGGTGATGGGCTGCAGTTCATCGCCTCGTGCCGCCTAAGGCCGCTGGGGCTGCTGCCCGGGGGCGAGGTCTGCGTGTTGGGGCGACGGCCCTCAGCTGCCCACCCGGCCCAGAGCTCTCACTTCTCCGTAACCCCGCACGTTTGGGGGACACAGAGACCATGCCAGGTCTCCCGGTGGGCAGCCTCTTCACTGAAGGTTCATATTATGGGCCGCGTTGCTCCCGTGCTGCGTCCCCCCAGATGCTTGCTTTTAGGCACCCAGACACGTGGAAGGTTCGTTTGTTGGCTTAGGCGGTGTCCCTGTCACTTGTGACGTGTGAGGGTTCTGCTGGTGACGTTAAGGCCTGCAGTTGATTTGGTTTTATGAAAGCGAGTCTGCCTCTGTCGTTTTCCTACCACGGAGCTCCGTCACGGACGCTCGTCACCTGTCGGGGATGCCCCCCCTCCTCCACCCGGGCGCCACCTTCGTGGTTCTCTGTCTTGTGTGGTTGCTCGGCTGAGTGAATATTCCTCGAAGAAACGCCCGTCCCGAGAATAGGGCCGTGGATCAGCTTGCTCTGTTTCTCTGGGCTGGGATTTCTGCTGTTTCCAGTCGATACTTCATAGGTGTCTGCTGTACGCCAGGCACCGCGCCAGGCCCTGGGCACACCTCCGGAGACACGTCAGACGAGGCCCCCACCCTCCTGGAGCTTATGTCCCTGTGAGCTCCTCCTAATGGGTTATTCAGGCCCAGCTCCTTCAAAGGCCAGCTTCAGCGTCACCTCCTTTAGGAAGGCCTCCGTGATCCCTCCACCTGATTCCCCTTCTTCTCAACCTCTACCAGGGTTTGTACTCGCTTACAGCATGAAGTGTCACAGTTCTGCCTGAATGATGGTTATGTGATCACTGAAAGCCCTGCAGGTGGGTCCCCGGGGTAAAGGAGGATGTAGGTTTTGCCATCTCTGTCCAGTGGCAAGTACAGGGCTTGGGTCTGCATCCCAGCACAGTAAAGGCACAGTTATCGACTATGAAGTTACATCCCCTGCTGTGGCCAGCACAGTGCCTTGCTAATATTGATAGTTGGTACTTAGAAACACTTTAGCTGAATAAAGTATCATCTACACATGGATTGTGCAACCCCTCCTCTTCCTTCTGTCCTTCCTGTTGTCACCGCAGCGGGAGTGCCCAGGGTAGCGACAGTGCCTGCCTTGTTTGCCCTTTACCCTAAGTCAGCACCTGAGAAAGTCCCCAGGAAGCTCTTTACAGCAGGCGTGCTGTTAACTTCATGGCTTCGTTCTGCTACCTTTTCCCGATGGTACCTGAGGAAAACGAGGCTGACGTGGGGACGTTTTAGTCACTCTTCTATGAAAAGAAATAAAATAAAAATATATGCTCACACACACATATATACACGAGGAAGGGGGAGATGCTGTATTGAGCCTGAGTCTGCCTCTGAGAAAACCTAGACTTTTAAGAATGAGTGATCCAGCTTGAAACGCGTCATCTGTTTGTGGAAGATTATACCCTCTCCCCTGCTCCCCTGCAAGGCTCGGCCGAGGAGGGAACGGGCAGCAGTCAGACGGCGCTCCGCTGTCTCGCCCGGGCGTCTGAGCGTGAGCGGGAAACTGCTGTCAACTCTCTCGTACGTGTAATCACAGGACTGGAATTAACTGCCTTGCTTTGTAACTGCAGCAGGTAATGGTCTCCAGTGCCGCAGAGGTAAATACAGCTAATACAGGCAGCTGAATAACATCATCTTTTTAAAGGTTAATTTTAATTTTCAAGACTTAACAAGATTTAAGAAAATAAGCATATAGTGAATGATCTCGCTCCTTCCATTTCCTGAAGTGAAGCGGTTTATTCCATTTTGCTGTGGGAGGAGTCCTCCTGAGTCCAGTGCTCGGGACGGGGCCAAGAAGTGTCCCAGGTCACTGGTCTTCTGTTTGTAAAGTAACGTCTCACGTAATTCCACAGATCTGTTGAGTGTCAGCTGTTACCTAAGTGTGTTTATATCTCCTTTTTTCTCCTGAAAAATTAACAACTCAGGGTCGACTCTATTTAATTTTTCAAATCCAGTGAGAAGATTCATTTGGATATATTTTCAAGTAACAGTTTGGTTACTTGAGGAAGGTTTCTCCTACTCACATTTCTTGTTAAAGTGTGTTGTTGTTTTGCTAAGTGTTACTGATATTTTCTCCAACACGTGGAGTAGCTTTGCTGAGAGCAGAGGCTGCAAGATGCCTGTGTAGTTCCAGAGAGCGGCTGGGAAACAAGGGGCCGCGAGCCGGATTTCCCAGTGAACCAGCCAGCTTTACCCTTCCACACTGAACTTTCTAGAAGGGTGCCGTTTGTCACAGTGCCTGACCAGCTCACGTCTATACCGATTTATACACCCACGCACGTATACATACGTACAAGTATACCTCGTTTTATTGCACTTTGTTTTTCTGTACTTCACAGATGCTGCATTTTTAACTAATTGAAGGTTTGTGGCAGCTCTGCATCGAGCAAGTTTGTTGGAGCCATTTTTCCAATGGCGTTTGCTCGCTCTTGTCTCTGTGTCACATTTTGTTGAGTCTTGCAATTTTTCAAACCCTCCACCAGCAAAAAGATTACAGCTCGCTGAAGGTTCAGTTGATGGTTAGCATTTTTTAACAATAAAGTATTTTTTAATTAAAGTATGTACATTTTTTTAGACAATGCTATCGGGCACTGAATAGACTACAATAAGTGGAAACGTAACTTTTATATGCCCTGGGAAACCAAAAACTTTATGACTCAGTTTATTGCGATATTGGCTTTATGGCAGTGGTCTGGAACCAAACCCACGACATCCCCAAGGTGTGCCTGTACTCGTGTGTGTTTATTTATTTATTTTTTAAAACATTTTATTTGTTTGTTTATTTATTTTTGGCTGCATTAGGTCTTTGTTGCTGCGCGTGGGTTTTCTCTAGTTGCGGCGAGCAGGGGCTACTCTTCGTTGCAGTGCATGGGCTCTAGGCACACGGGCTTCAGTAGCTGTGACTCGTGGGCTCTAGAGTGCAGGCTCAGTAGTTGTGGCTCAGTAGCCTCTAGAGCACAGGCTCAGTAGTTGTGGCACACAGGCTTAGCTGCTCCACGGCATGTGGGATCTTCCCAGACCAGGGCTCGAACCCGTGTCCCCTGCATTGGCAGGCGGATTCTTAACCACTGCGCCGCCAAGGAAGCCCATGTTTATTTATTGAGTGGTACTTCTATTCATGAGTGAGTGAAACTGTACATCTATCCACCAGGATTAGCTTTTAACTTCCTTTAAGTTCTTCTTTAAGCCATTCTTTCTTGGTTCTTGTCTATCAAGGAGATGGGTGAAAATAATTCAAACAGTGTGTCCTGCAATGTCTGTGATATTTTAAGTGACAGTGACATTTTGAGCCTGTGCGATAATGATGCTGGTCTCCAGGACTGGTGACTTGGGGGGTTTTGGAGGGGGCAATACACCTGGAGAAAAATCACCTCTAGCAAAGCTCAAGTTGGGGAGCCATTTGATGGGTGAGCATGTGGACATTCCCCCCAGGGCAGAGCCACCAGACACCGCTCCCGGCGGCCCCTGAACTTGGTGTTCACCTGGGTGGTGACGCTGCTCGTCGGCACAGCAGCACCAACCAGGACTCTGGGGGCTGCCAGTCACACTTGTTTGTTTCTCGCTCTTGCCCCGCAGACTCGCTGTCCGTCTCCAGCAACGATGCCAGCCCGCCTGCCTCCGTGGCCTCCCTCCAGCCCCACATGATGGGGGCGCAGAGCTCCCCGGGCCCCAAGCGCCCAGGCAACACGCTGCGCAAGTGGCTGACGAGCCCGGTGCGGCGGCTGAGCAGCGGCAAGGCTGACGGGCACGTGAAGAAGCTGGCCCACAAGCACAAGAAGAGCAGGGAGGTCCGCAAGAGTGCCGACGCCGGCTCGCAGAAGGACTCGGACGACAGCGCGGCCACCCCGCAGGACGAGACGGTGGAAGAGGTCAGGGCCTCCGGTATCTCCCTCCGGGTCGTGGGAACAGCGAATACACTCGTCTGGTGGTTTTCCCTAAGTTCTGGAAAGGACCAGGGTCAGAGCCCCGCTCCGTTCCTCTAGCAGCGTCTATAGAGTCAGGGACCCACGCGTGGCCTCGGATCAAGAAATCAGAGGACAGTGGGCAACCCCGCCTGCTTCAGGAGAACGTGGTGCCCGGCCACCGTAGCCCCCTCTCACCTCCATCACAGGCAAAGCCAGGGGTGCCTCCCGGGAGGCAAAAGATTTACGTGGCCCCTGAGGTTAGCACTCAACCACGGGGGCAGCATTTTGCAAGGAAAGCACCAGTTTTAGACTTGGAAGGACTAAGGGAATGTTTGCATCCTCCAGTTACGCTCCACCACCACCCTTGCCCCCGTACTCATACACATTCATGCTTACGTCTTGTCCTGAGTAGAAAGCACACAGTTAATATACTTTGCTAACCCAGCAGTAAACACTGGATTATTCCCATGTCATCGAAGATAAATGTATGTAGGTCAGCCAGGAATTATTTTTAATTTCCCCTTTTTTGGAGGAGGTGGGAGCTTAAAATTATACTGCAAGGAACCGAATTCCTTTATGGTCCCCAAGATGAACCTTCAGCAGTGTGGTGTCAGTGAGGGGCCCTCAGAGTTTTTAACTTGGACCCCTATCCCCCAGTTCCCTCACAGGCTCAAAAAAAGGCAGAGAGAGAGAGAGAAGACAGGATTTGTATCATTCAATTTATTTTGCAGATGTGGGGTTTCTGCTGCTTTTTGCCCGGGCGTGTTTTCGCCATGGGTTTTCACTGGAGCATATGGTTCATTTATGTCCTCATCTCTCTGTTTTATATACTGTGTCCCCGTGATAGAAATGAAAAACTGAAATTTTTTTCTAAAAGTAAGAACGGGGAAATTAATGGGATACTTATTTCAGATTCTTAAAGTACACCTTGAATTGTATTTTTCTTTATGTCCTCCTGATGTCAGTGAGTTTTATTTGAGCAAAGTAACAAAAAGTGAAGTATGAGACTAGAGAAACTAAGGGTTATGGTTCAGATTTTTGAACCTTCTTTTTAAATTGGCTTCTTGAAGATCAGATGTGTTCAGAGCCTAACGGTTAACGTTGGTAGTCCCTTCCCAAGACACTGTCAGTGGCCCTTCCCTCGTCCAAGTTGGCAAGCGAGGGAGCTGGGTTGCTGGAGGGAGTGGAAGCTCCCGCCAGGGTTGGAAGGAGCTTGGCCTTGATTCCTGCTCTCAGTTTCGATCCCGGCTGTGCTTTTCCAGTTAACCCCTGAGGGCTCAGTTTCTGTGAACTGACATTGGACAGTCAGGGCCGGGTTCCAACGGGTGAATGTCGGTCTGGTTTCAGAGAGGCCGGAACGAGGGCCTGAGCAGCGGCACGCTCTCCAAATCCTCGTCCTCGGGCATGCAGAGCTGCGGAGAGGAAGAAGGGGAGGAGGGGGCCGACGCCGTGCCCCTGCCCCCGCCCATGGCCATCCAGCAGCACAGCCTGCTGCAGCCGGATTCACAGGACGACAAGGTAAGGGGGCCACGCCCACACCGAGCCTCGCCAGGAGAGGGCCTGGCGGTTGCCTGCCGCTCTGCCCCAGCCTCCTTGCAGGACATAGAGAGCGACCCGGGCTGTGAAAAGGCACCTGGAAGATGCCTTTCACCCCAAAAGTATAGATAGCAAAGGCCATTTAGACTAAGCTGTAGGAACCCACGCAGTCTCTCGTACACGTGTGCTTGTATAAATACGTTCAGTGCATTTTTAATGGATGCTTTCGTAATTGCTACTTTTCAAGTCATTCTAATTTTTCTCACTGTACTAACCAGGGTCCCTGAGAGGGCAGAGAAGTCGCACGCCACCTGCGTGATTGCGTCCTAAACGCACACGAGCCCATCTGGTTCTCTCTGTTAGGTGTCTGCACACAGGTGTGGTTTTCAGATGGGATGGTATTGCTGTCCAGTTCCTTTTACCAACATGGCAAACATCTGGGTCAAACCGGAGTTTGTCAAAGTGCAGGAATCAGTTCGAAACCATGAATTTCCTCTTTGGATGTATGCAGAGGCTTCAAGCCAAGTAAATCTTATTTTTTGTTTTCTGGGTTTTTTTGAGTTCTTACATAATCTAAAATTACTCTGTACAGCCCTAAAATATCAAGAAGGAAACCTGGTAACTGTGGCTTATACATCCTCTCAATTTCTGGCCCATCCTGCTTCTCCAAATTGGCAGGTGTTAAAAACCATCCTATGGAGTTATTACTCGTGCTTTTTTTTTGGCAGAAACTAAGGTTTCTGAATAAAACAGATGTTTTCGTCAGTTTTCCCCCTTCCTCCCCTTTTTCCTTCCCTGACTTCCCTCAGTGCTAACACAGTCACTCGCTGGATGGGCTCGTGCGTGATGACCCGGGGTCGCCCTGGCTCAGTGATCTACGGCCGTGAGGCCAAAGGCCGATCACGCGTTAGCCTTAAGCTAAGGCGCCTTCTCTGTAGAACTCCTCTTCTCCCTCCTGCTCCGGGGCCCTCAGTGCACAGCAGGGGCGCCCTCAGTGCACAGCGGGGGCGCAGTGGGCTTGGCAGAAGGAGGGAGCTTGGGTTCGAGACTGGGGTTTGGAGGGCATCTGAGGTACAGACCCCGTGCCATGGGGGGGGCGGTGGGCAGGGTGGCCTGAGGTGGGAGAGAAGCTCGCACCCCACTGCCCAGAGCAGACCCGCCAGGAAGCCAGGCTCTGACAGCTCCTGGGTTATTTTGTAACGTTCTAAGCCATAGCATTTTAAAGGCAGAAAACCGGAATTGTGTAAATGTGGATGGTTAGCCGAAAGTGAGGTGCCAGGCCTGGTTGACTTATTCACCGAATAAGAGGGTATTTTTCTCCATTGAAAGAGTGGATTGCACTATATTCTTCTGTTTGCCAAAATCACTTATTGGTTATTGTGTTACCTCTTTGGGTATTACCCACAGAAATTCTTCCTTTACAAAAGTCTATAGTGATGTTCCCGGAGAGTATATTATCTTGTGACTAATGTTTTGTTTTGTTCTGTTTTCTCTTTTCGTAAACTTTCACTGCAGCATTATGTTGATTTGTGTTCTGTGTCTGTTTTGGCTCAGTTTCCTTACCTCTCCATTTGAATTTTTTCCTTGTTTTCTTCACCTCATCTTCCAGATTTCATTAGACCAAGCCAACATTTGTTTTGCCAAGTGCATATCTGGATCCGCATTGTAACAGCCTCGTTGTAAACGTATAAATCCGTATCTGTCTGCTGTGAGACATGCATCGTTAGGACAGCTAGCCGTGTGTCACATGCATCTCTGCTGTCCTTAATATGAAGCAAGGTTCATATTACACCCCTCTTCTAGTTTCCAGTAAATTAACGGTGCAAGTAATCTGCAAACACAGCGTGTTTGCTAATTACTGAAACTCGAACTCAGTAGCCCCTCCCCCAGATTCCTTACCTGTCCACCCCTGTACACCCCGACTCTAGCCGTAAATGGCATCTGATAGCTTGTGAGGCCACAGATCTCCTGTCCTCTGCACTAATCACTGGGGAAGTGGATGGCACAGAAAATGGTGAGCTTGTCCCCCTCTTCCCTGTCTGGCCAGTACTCCCGGTTCCTTTCCTTTTCTTGTTTCTTTCTTTTAACCCCATCCACACAGTAAAGCCATTTTTAGTATCCAGTTTTGTTTCCCGATTTTTTAAAGGGTTCACTCATTAGCCCTTAAGCCTTTCACTCTTCTGTTGATCAGATTCTCTGCCTTTTCCTCCTTAGCCAGTAGCCTAGCCAGCAGTTGCAAAAGTTAGAATTTTCCCGTGCCCAGTCACCTCTTTGAAAAACATTCTGATGGTACATGACTGCTGATTAGAAACAGACTTCGTCTGCTTTCCACATGTATCCCGGACAGGTCTTATTTAGTATTTCATGTCAGAATATTGTAAATTTTAAAAGATGGCTTTAAATAAATGCAAACAAAGACAAACTTGTGGTCTTTTTGTCTGGAATTACTTTTGAAAGGAGATTGAGCTTGCAGGAGAATTCTGTCTGCCCAGTGACTAACACGAGGCATTTCCCTCCCCCTCTCTTTTTCTTGACTTCCTCCATAGGCCTCTTCTCGGTTATTAGTCCGCCCCACCAGCTCCGAAACGCCGAGCGCAGCCGAGCTTGTCAGTGCGATCGAGGAACTCGTGAAAAGCAAGATGGTAAGGCTCCCCAGAGACTCAGGCTGAGGGCTGGAAGCTGCTCCAGGGTGCTACTTGTAGGTGGGCGGGCCCTCGTCCAGGTGTGGCTCTGGTCTGCAGGACAGAGTTCGGGAAGCCCGGGCCCACCCTCAGGTTCAGTAATTGGCTTGAAGGACTTACAGAACTTAGAGAAGCCGCAGATGCGGTTCATTGCCGTGAAAAGACACAGGTGAAGATCAGCCAGGGAAGGGGTGCAGGAGCAGGTCCAGGAGGGTCAGGTTCAAGCTGCCATTGTCCTCTCCCAGTGGAGTCATGTGCACAACACTGACTCTCTCCCCGCCTCGCACAGTGTGGGATGATATGTGCAGGGTGTCACCAGCCAGGACACCCCCCGCCCCGCCGAGCCTTGGTGTTCAGAGTTTTTATTTGGGCTCAGTCACATACACGAGGGTGAGCTCACATGGCTCACCCTTGTCCCCTGCCTCTCCAGGGATTAAGATAGGACGTGGACCAAAGCCCTCACCCAAAGTCCCACTGTTAGCATAGACTGTCTGTCTTAGCCCCAAAACCCCAGGTAAACAGAGACTTCATCAGGCAGGACATTCCACAGGCTTAGAGGGACCTCCCAGGAGCCAAGGTCAGTCCTTTCCTGCACCCACATTGTCTGCGGTACTGACACCGTCATAGCCAATGTGGTCAACTCCAGTCTTGTCCAAAGCTGTGCATAGGGTCATTGGACTCACAGGTACCACTGGGAGTCTCTCTGTCTGTCTCTGAGATCTTTCACTTGGGTTTGCAGTGTATGAGAGAGAAGGGTTTGCATTGCTGTATAAGGGCTTTATTCTTTTTGTGACCTCTCTGTTGCCAGTTGGTCAACATGGATTCATTTAATAAAAGCCCCAAATCAAATGTTGATTTATTGAAGTTAGACAGGTTTGCATTGTTTCTAACTGATTCAAATCAGTAAATTTCTGTGTTTCTTTAGTTTTCCTGTGAAATAGAAAAACCAGTAATGGTAACAACATTTTAGACTAGTATATCCTGCTACCCTACAACATCTTTTAAAAGTCACACCTCCTAAAGTAAAAGCCCTCGGCCTCTCCCACATTCCATTCTCCATGAGTTTGATGTGTTTCCCTCCAGACAGTTTCTTTGTATATACTCCCCACAGCAGCCCTACGAGGTAGGCATGTACTGTCATATTCTCATTTTACAGATGAGAAAACCGAGGCACACAGAATGCTTAAAAAGTTGACCAGCTGCTAAGGGGCAGAGATAGAAATCTATAATTTATTTAAATAAATTCATAATAATATATATCAGTTGTTTTCAATTTTCACTACTGTAAACATCCATTGTTTGTTTATATGTGTGATTAAACCTGTAGGGTCAATTTCCAGCACTGGAATTGCTAGATCAAAGGGTACAATGGATCCTTAAACAACATGTGTTTGAATTTCATGGGTCCACTTATATGCAGATTTTTTTCAATAGTGAATACTCTAGTACAACACAGTCTGCCCTGGATTGAATCCACAGAAGCAGAACCACAGATACCGAGGAACCACGTATACAGAGAGTCAGCATCCCAACCCCTGCATTGTTCAAGAGTTAACTGTACTTCTTTAAAGTTAGGAATTTATCTTCCAAAGCCAGTATTAACTAGGTACCATGTATATAACTGCAGTTTCTTCTCCCACCCACCCCTAAGCAGCTTCTAATGAGGCTGGTTGACTAGGTCAAATGGGGAATTGTATCCAAAATTCAGACTGACAGGTATTGCCCTGCCGTCGCTGGAATTCTCCCTGCTTGTGCTGTGGTCTGAGAAGGACGCAGTGGGCCTCGAGCTTAGACAAGACGTTAGGCAGCAGGGCTGCTAGGACTTGGTAAGGAAGTCAAGAACTTGACTCCACTGGTCAAAAATTCGGGATCATGTCAGTAGGAACTGAGCTAAACCACATCCTGGCTATGTGTTTGAGAGACAAGTTGATTAATGGTCTGAAAAGATGCTTAAATGATATCTAATGAGTTTTCAAGCATTCTTAAACATCCTTAAACATTTTCAAAACAGCCGTTTATGCACATCAGTTATATGATCGTTAAAATCATTTTTGTCTAGTAATTTAAGTAGTTTTCCCAAGGAATGTTGTGAGACAACACTTTGTCAACCTGCTCGTCATTATTCTGCAAGTATCTGAATGGATTACATTGTAAGTGAGCTGAGATTCATGTGTAATTAATTCAGATGGACTTCAGATGGAGAGGAGTTCTATGGCTGGTCTCCCAGCTCTTACTGCTTTACTCCCCCTTTTAAGTTCTGAATAATTAAACTTTATCCATTGAAACTACCTTATTTCTACTCACTTATGTCTCTTCTGAAGTTAACGGGCATAAAGCTGTTGGCAGAGTGGAAAGGGCGTAGGTTTTGGAATCAGATAGGCGTGGGTTCAGACTCTCCTACTGACTGCTTCCGCCTCTCTGAGCCCACCTCTCAGCTGGAAACAGGGGATGGTAAACCGACTGCTGTTTGTTAAGCTCCCAGCCGGGTTCCCTCCACCTGGGCGCTCACTCGTGCCTCCCCTCCCCGTTGCAGAACCACACTTAGGCTTTTTATGGTGAGCGCATCTCTTCTTCATTCTACGTGGAATGTAATCTAAATTCTGCCCTCTTTTTCTGGTTCAGGGGAAACATAACTCTCCCTTGGTTTCTGGTCACTAATCCTCAAACAGGAAGCACTTTTTGTCACTAAAACCTCTAGTGCACCATTTTAATATCCTTCACCCTGTCATGCTCCCCATGACTCTGAGTTACTCCTGCATATTTCACCGTGTGCTGTGGCTCCTTGGTCTTCCTGTTCATTTTCCTGAGGGCCGTCTCTTAGGCTCTCATGACTTCGTGATCGGATTTGAATGCTGAACCATTATCCCTCCAAAGCTGTGTGTGCAGTGGACTGCGAAGACGAGGGGAGAAGGTGTCCTGCTGTCGTGCGGTGTGTGTTCAGGGAACTGAATCTCCTCGCCCTGAACCTGCGGATTCCGTCTGAAAAGGAAAAACCGCCCTGCACACCTTTCCTTGGAATTCGCCTCTCTCTCCACCTCCACGTTCCTGATCAGTATTGGAAGGTGTGGGCAATGGCAGCTGACGGCTGCAGGGACTGAATTTGACTTTGGAGTTTTCTTCTCTTTGTTGATCTGAATATAAAGGGAGATACAAGAAAGAATGAAAATCAATGAAATAAACATGTAGCTCAAGATATTAGAAGAACAACAAAATTTTCTTTAAACAAGCAGAAGGAATGAATTCACAGAGATAAAAGCAGAAATGAATGAGTTGGAAAACAGAAAAATAGAATAAGAAATAAAACCCAAAATTTGTTCTTTCAAAACATATGGACTTCAGGTAACCTTCCAAAGAAAATAGCCCAAATTCACAAAAGAAGAAATTACAAAGGAAAGGTAAACTGAGGGAATTGAAACAATCATGACACGTTACTTTGTTCAACGCTTTGAAAGCAAATTTGAAAACCTGGATGAAATGGGCAGTTTCTTAAGAAAATCAGTTTACCAAAACTAACCTCAGAAGAGCTAGGTCTGCACAGGTAGTCTCTCTTCATTTAAGAAACAGGGAAAGTTGACAAGAACCTACCCACAAAAACCCACCCAACCCAGAAGGTTCCACAGATAATTCATCTGAACCTGTAAAGTCCCAGTAATTCCAGCTCTGGGGCAGCTTTGAGCCTTTTCACTCGCGCACAGTTGGTGGGAGAGCCACTGGGCGGCCAGGAGTGGATGGCACAAGCGTGACTGCAGCCTGGGGGCGCACCTGCACCCTCCCTGGCCACCCACCGGGGTCCACACCAGCATGTCCAGGAGAGGCAGCGGAAGGAGCCTGGATGCCACTGGGGCAGGTCCAGACGGGGCCTCTCCGCCCACTCCTCTGCGTGAGCGGCCATCTGGAACCTTTCTTGTCTCTCTCTTTGCTCACCGTTCAAGTGACCGTAATTAAAGCTAACGAGGTTCAGCTGTTTCCTTGCACATGTGGGCAGGAGACAGCACCGCTGCTCCCTCCCTCGTCCTCCAGCCTCCAGTCTCCTGAGTCTCCTGTCCAAGGCCTCCAGGACCCACGCGCATGGACCAGGCCCTGCTGCTACCACAAAATGTGTGCTTCCACTAGAGGTCAAGAGCTATTTATTTAAAAATAAGAATGCTACTTTCCCATCAAGCCCCGTTCCTTAACTGTTTTTCATAACTAAGAGCAGGAGTTGGTGTGTTTGTACAGCTCCATGGGTTTGAACAAGATTGCAGGAACAGACTTGGTGTTCTCAAAGCTGTGCTCAGTGATGGCGTCAGCTTCAGCCTGTTACTCCTAGGGGGGAAATAGGACAAGCATTAAAGGTTTTAATATGATAGGAAATATTAAGTGTTCTTGTAGTTTGTATTGGGCTTTTGTTTGAAGAGAAGTAAATCACATTTTCCCCGTTAAGTTGCTGAAATACCTTTTGGTCATCTCTGCCCAGCCAGGGTGCTTTGAAAAATTTAAAAGAACTATCAGCTATTTGCAAATGATGTGACTGACAAGGGATTAATCTCCAAAATACACAAACAGCTCATGCAGCTCAATATCAAAAAAAAAAAAAAAAACAATCAAAAAATGAGCAGAAGACCTAAATAAACATTTCTCCAAAGAAAACATACAGATGGCCAACAGGCACATGAAAAGATGCTCAACATAGCTTATTATCAGAGAATGCAAATCAAAACTACAATGAGGTGTCACCTCACACTGGTCAGAATAGCCATCATCAAAGGGTGTGGAGGAAAGGGAATCCTCCTACACTGTTGGTGGGAATGTAAATTGGTACAGCCAGTATGGAGAACAGTATGGAGGGTCCTTCAAAAACTAAAAGTAGAGCTACCATATGATCCAGCAATCCCACTCCTGGGCATATACCCAGAAAAGATGAAAACTCTAATTCGAAAAGATACACGCACCACAACATTCACTGTAGCTCTATTTACAATAGCCAAGACATGGAAGCAACCTAAATATCCATCGGCAGATGAATGGATAAAGATGTGGTACATATACACAATGGAGTATTACTCAGACATTAAAAAAAAAAGAATGAAATAATGCCATTTGCAGCAACGTGGACGCAACTAGAGCTTATCATTACTAAGTGAAGTGAGTCAGAGAAAGACAAATATCATATGACACCACTTGTATGTGGAATCTTGAAAAATGATACAAATGAACTTATTTACAAAACAAATAGACTCAGAGACACAGAAAACAAACTTACTGTTACCAAAGGGGAAAGGTAGGGGGGAGGGATAAATTAGGAGTTTGGGATTAACAGGAACATACTTCTATATCTAAAATAGATAAACAGCAAGGAGCTACTGTATGGCACAGGAAACGATTCAATATCTTGTAATAACCTATAATGGAAAAGAATCTGAAAAAAAACATATAGCTGAGTCACTTTGCTGGATACCTGAAACTAACACGACGTTGTAGATCAACTGTATTTCGTTTTTTACAAAAAGGCACTATCACCTATACCCCTGGTAGTTTTGTGAATTCAGGTTAAGAGAGAAAATTAGTAGGTACCAATTAGAAAGTAACCAGTTGCTGATCGTTATCACACTAACCCAGGGAGGAAAGTCACCAATATTCAACTCACAGATTTATTGATCACCGAAAAAGTTGTGTTCAAGGTTGGCATGGCAACCACTTACTAAGGAAGAAGAAAGTTGCGAGCGTCACAGAGATAGAGATTAGTTTTAGCTGCATGATCTCTGTGCTTTGAAGTACGAGTCTGTTTAATTAAAACAGAGGTTTGCTAACGTTGCTGCATGGTCCACCGGCCAGGAACGTGGGCAGTGTGTCTGGGTACACCGGCCTGAACGAGGCGACTGCACACACTTCTGAAATGGTCATGCTTTCATGTGACAGGAATATAACTGGAAGGAAAATGGCTAGATTTGAAATGGGTACAGTCTGTGGTATTGTTTCTAATTATTCGGTAACCAGGAACAGAATATATGAACGGATATAAATTCACCGTTCTTTTCATTCTAACTCTCCTCTTTTGTGCAGCCCCTCTTACTCAGTTTCAGAATTAATGCTGGGGGTTTTGTTGCTAAATACGGTGTGATTTCACACACATAGACTCCATAGTGTTGTAATCAGGCCTTCTGTATTTTCTGACGTATGAGATTTTCTGGTCCTAATTTCAGCCCCACGTGCTGTGTAGGCAGGAGGCCTGACGGGCGATCTGGTTTCTTCTAGGCGCTGGAGGATCGTCCCAGCTCACTCCTCGTGGACCAGGGAGACAGTAGCAGCCCCTCCTTCAACCCTTCAGACAACTCCCTTCTGTCCTCCTCCTCGCCCATTGATGAGATGGAAGAGAGGAAATCCAGCTCTTTAAAGAGACGGCAGTAAGAAATGTTATCATTGTCATTGTTTGGTGGCTTCCCTCCTGGCTTTGTCACCTACGAAGCTGTGGCTGGGATTCATCTCTGAGTCACACGAGGAGGAGACCCAGGGTCTCTCGCCGAGCGATTGTACGTTTGTTTGCAAACGTACAGAACCTCAAGAGGGTGCAGTAAGCCGTAGCTGCATCTTTTATTGTTTTATTTGTATATTATACTTTATTTATAAATAAGAACGATACAAGAATATTTTTTGTCACTTCTGGTGAGAAACAGCCGTACTTTCTATTATATACATAGTTGTGAAGAAAAAAGAAGATGACGTAAAATTAAATACAGTCCCCAAAACTTGAAACATACCTTAGTGGTAGAGCTTTTCAGTTTCAGTTAAAAAGTCTTGAAGAATATTACAGAAGGTTTAAAATTGCATTTGGAGAACAGGAAAAAACTTAGCCAGCTGCATGAGGACAGAGACTTGGTTTTATTGAGTGCTGTATCCCAGCACCTAGAGTGGCATCGGGTGCATAGGAGGTGCCTGGCCAGTGTTAGCTGAATGAATGAATGAACAAACCAACCAACCAGCCAACGAACGTTTTTAGGTCAACTGAGGTGGTTTGCTGTAACCGATCAAGGAATTGTCTTCTATTATCTGAGTGGCCTTAAACGGTTACTGAACCTTATGAAAAGAAATACTTCTGACTGATGTGATCAGACCCAAGGCTTTAAACATCTGAGTTAAATTTCTTTTGTATGTCCAACGAAGCTTAAAATGACTTTATCATGAAAACACAAACAAGCAAAAGCCCTACTTCCTTTAACATCTTGCCTTTATAACAAAGTTATGTCTGTCCTGCTTTCGGTCCTCGTGCATGTGATCAGAATCCGGTGCTGTGAATTCATCCGGAATGCGAGGTGTCTTGTGACCTCTGCAGCACCCGTGGGTCACCCACATGAACCTGTAAGTGACTGGGGACACACAGGAATTGGAGATCCAGTTGTGCAAGTTTGAGAGGTCACTTCCTAGCCGCCCCTGCAGAATCTGACCTGACGAAAGCAAAAGGGCGGATGAATTCATTCAGAAAATTCCTTGGATTGTGGGTGGTAAACGCTGTTTTTTCTCTCTTTTTTCAGCTACGTTTTGCAAGAATTAGTGGAAACAGAACGTGACTATGTGCGGGACCTCGGCTGTGTGGTGGAGGTGTGTGTTTCAGAGATGTAATAACCTGTATCCATCCGCCCTGAGGGTTGCCACGGGGGGGTGTTGTACAGGACAATTGAAAGCTGATACCTTCTCAAAAGCTTTAAAAATATTTTTGACTAAAACAAAACACAATAACAACAACCAACAAAATATTTCTGAAAAGTAAAATTTAGCCAATTATCTCAACAATCGGTATTCACTTTTTAAAGGCTTCTTTTTTGCATGGTGCCTCTTGACATAGTCTCTTCTTTTGATAATTAAGTTTGTAAATATTATCTCCAACCTTTGAATTTCTTATATGGAAATCTGGCCTTTAATTATTTTACAAGAGTGGGTGTCACCACAGAAATGAGGACATCATTGGTTGAAAAGTCAATGTGACCAGCTATGGATTCAGTTACATCCTGAATCACCTGGGTTCAGAGCTTGGTCTGTGGCTACCACCCTAGGCCATTTGCTTGTAGTTTTCACAGAACGAATATGTCACCACTTTCACTGACCAGAAGTTGATACGCACTTTGTACCCATAGCAAAACCACTGCCTTTCATACTAAATCAAGGGCTCTTTCTAGGCTTGTCCCTGCCATTAACTTTAGGGCATAATCATATTAATAAACTCAACTTATCAAAAAGCTATTTTTATAATATAAAACTTTATCACTTATTCTTTCAACTTTGCAAATATGTACAGGGCAATACTTTTTGGATGTACATTCCATTAAAAGTAATGGCTATTACAGTTAATTGCGTAACATAAAGGATTAAACATGCTTGACATGTCTGTAATCATTACTAACAGTAACTTGAAAACTTCAGAGCTTCTTGTACAGGCTGAATCACATTCAAGTTATATAGAAGTTTTAAACCACATTTTAGCAACATAGTTAATCAACTGTTATTAAAAATCAATTTGTGAAAAGTATGTTGTTAAATCCGTGTTTAACAAATTATGTAAATAATCCAAAAAGAAAAGAAAATCTGTTTATATCAGATCAGTACCGAGAACAGAGGAAATATGCTTCTGGCCAAGTATTTAATCTTTACAAGCTGACAAGATGATTTGTTTTATGAAACCATTTACTTTTATTTAAACTTTCCAATTCCTCAGAAGAGTTTTGATCTTTGAATGCTAAATAGTTTAGGGAGAGAAAATCATGTCAATGAATGTAACTGTATTTCAAGGGCCAGTTAGGGACACATTTCACAAAGGGTTGGGGGGTTTTTGTTTTTTTGGTTTTTTTTTGTGGTACGCGGGCCTCCCACTGTTGTGGCCTCTCCTGTTGCGGAGCACAGGCTCCGGACGCGCAGGCTCAGCGGCCGTGGCTCATGGGCCCAGCCGCTCCGCGGCATGTGGGATCTTTCCGGACCGGGGCACGAACCCGTGTCCCCTGCGTCAGCAGGCGGACTCTCAACCACTGCGCCACCAGGGAAGCCCCACAAAGGGTTTTTGTTCTTACATAAAGAATTAGTTTACAAGACAGTGCCTATGTCTCTTTTATCCTTTGTGGCTCTCAATCAGTAAACCATTACTTGATTCAAACATGTTCAATGCAATAATCTTATCTTTAAATATTTAATTTTAGGGCTACATGGCACTTATGAAAGAAGATGGCGTTCCCGATGACATGAAAGGCAAAGACAAGATTGTGTTTGGCAACATCCATCAGATTTACGACTGGCACAGAGAGTACGTAAAATACATACCATGTTCGTTGGTGGACAGTCTGTCATCACCCGCTGAACTGCATCACGCCAAGCGAACGAGAAAGGATATTTGTTGACTCATTTCATTTCCGTACCTATGTGGCCCCATGGAGGTAGCTGGTGTAAAGGAAATATTGGTGTTCCGAGGCCTTTTCTGGTTGCATTTCACAGCACGAGGAAGTCTCTTACCTTCTTTGTGCTGACCCATCCAGGTTGCCCGTGTGGGGAAGGCTGGACGCCCGGGCACCGAGCCTGACCGCCTGGGTTCACAGCACGGTCCTGACCCCGAGCCCTTCGCTTCCCCTCTCTTTGCCTCCATCCTTTCCTCTACACAACGTGGGTCGCGGTGTTGCCCTCCTCATGGGACTTCTGTGAAGAGTGACTGAGTTGATGCGTGTAAAGCACTTAGAGTAACATCTGCATAGAGTGAGGCTCGAGCGTTTCTAATTAGAATTGCAGCCGCCTCTTTAATAAATCCACATTACTGTTAGAGAGCCTTTTCAAGTCAGCTTTAATGGGGAAAGTAGACATGATTGCCCGTGAAAATCAAATTTGACCCCAGTACCTTGCCACACCTGTCCTAATCTACAGTGAAACCTATTTTAAAAAAGGACATTCGGTGCTGTTATCTAGTCATCTGCTCCCAAGGGTGGTTTTAAGCTGTGACAGGGAAGGGGAAACAGCACAAGGCTCCTGGGACGAGCAGACAGAGAAATTGCTCCCGGCAACGTGGTGTCTGCCGTGGTGTGCGCAGAGCTAGGGGATATTGAATCCTCAAGTGCGACACGGTTCAGTGTAGCATTCGTTGGTGTACTGGTTTGCAGGTTAGCACAATACCAGATACAAATATCAGCATATGTAAGTGATAATTAAGGTGGGCGTACATCTTACCAACTACTGTGGCCCAGAAGAAGTGAAGAGTAGTTGTCCCCAGCTGCTTTGTGTCTGTGGATACCTAATTCTGATCTTAATGGAAGCTAATATGTGCCACCTAGAAGTTGATTTTGATAATATTTGAGAAAACTTTATAAAGCCAGCCCAGGTAACATTCAGTATTTTGTATCTGTTATTATCCAATTTGAGCCTCCTAAAAATTACCATGGAAAGAATATGAAACTCACAGGTATGAGGACCAAGTTTTTAGAAAGAAAAATGACCAATTGCTTTGAAACTTTTACTTTTTACCCCATATTCAGATGGGATATTACTGTTTGTGTCATTTAAAAACAAAGTGAGACAAAAAGGTTGATTATCCAGAGGAAGGGAAGTTTGCCAGTCGAGGGATGTCTCACTCTGCCTTGCCTTGTAAACCTGTGTCTCTTTCTGTTTTCTGTCCTAACAGAATGTTTTCAGTGTGCATTGTATTTGTTAAGCATATACTTTACACTTCCCAATTGTTTTTGTCAAAACAGAATATTTTGAAAATATAAATCTCAATCTAAAATTAGCAGGCCAAGTTGGAAATGGTTCTAACACTTCTCCTTTCATTTCAGCTTTTTTTTAGGAGAGTTGGAGAAGTGCCTTCAAGATCCAGAAAAACTAGGATCCCTTTTTGTTAAACATGTAAGTACAATAGCATTATTTACATTCCGTTCTGTATTGTCATATTTAGTAATTGGCTTGTCAGATTAAAGGTGAACTCATGTGTAGGTTACAAAAGTACTTACATTAAGAATAAAATCAAACTGTACAATGTCGGCGAGTTGGACTCAAAATCCCCCGTTGCTCTTCTACACGTGAATGATCAGCTTTCCCAGTCACCTGGCCCCAGTTGGCTGTTCAGTTCACAAACAGTACAGGATGGTCAGAAGGGGACCAGAGCCAGACCAGAAGGAGGAACATTTGGGGATGTCCGTAGGCAAACAAGTGTCTGGTGCAGGTGGTAATGTATCGAGACGTGCAGTGGGTTTAATATAATAACCAAATTTTTGTGTGTATCTAAAAGAAGCATGTCAACAGTAAAAGTTTGGGGGTTTTTCTAGGAAAAAATACTATATTTTCAAAAAATTAGTGACCAGGATTTTTGTATTTTTGCAAATCTCCTTAATGTCTGGCTTAATAGAAGACAGATGCATTTTTATATCAGTTTCTGTATTGAACCTATTGTAGTGTGTTTTTTAGTTAAAATTTATGAAGAAAATCCATCCTCACAGATATTTGGATGGAAAGGGATGAGTGTTTTAATAGCCTTTTCCGATAAGTATAGATAATTTTCTTAGGTACTACATCAAAACTCAACAAGTGAGAATTTCTTAAAGGTTAGTCGCAACATGGAGTCTGAAAACCCATTGGTGAACTTCTCTCTTGCTGTTGCACTAGAAGCCGTTGAACTGTCTCACACTTAAAGGCTCTTTTACCCCTGCACCAGCTTGTGACATCCTGCATTGTAAATTCTGGTTCACTGATTCAGACAGATCTTCCAGATGTTGAAACATTTCAATAAACAGTATCAAGAAATCAGATTTGTTCATTGAGTATTGTCAGTGTTCTTTAAGTATTTAAGTATTGTCTTTAAGTACTGTCAAGTTCCAGGTAGCAGATCCATGTTTTCCAAAAGTATAATTTTTTGCTTGACAGCTCAAGTTTTCATTATTAATAGACATTGCAGGTTGTTTGCCTTGAAATGAGACAGGCTTATTTTATTCATATTCAGGAAACTGCCTACCAGATACCCACGTGTAAATAATTATAGTTTGTGTCCATCATTCTTTCAAGTAAAAATGGTCCATGAAAACAAGCAGTCGGTTCAGCTCATGGCTCAGCCACACGAGGGCTTTTCCTTGACTACTGTAGCACATGGCACAAGTGTCACAAGGATCTCCATTTTGTCACAGGAACGTTAAAAAGATGTATAGTCCATGGTTGAGGGTTTTTTTTTTTTGGTATTTATTTATTTATGTATGTGTGTATGTATGTATGTATGTATGGCTGCGTTGGGTCATTGTTGCTGCGTACGGGCTTTCTCTAGTTGTGGTGAGCAGGGCTACTCTTCGTTGCAGTGCGTGGGCTTCTCATTGCGGTGGCTTCTCTTGTTGCGGAGCACAGGCTGTAGGTGCTCAGGCTTCAGTAGTTGTGGCACGTGGGCTCGGTAGCTGTGGCTTGCGGGCTCTAGAGCGCAGGCTCAGTAGTTGTGGCACACGGGCTTAGTTGCTCTGCAGCATGTGGGATCTTCCCGGACCAGGGCTCGAACCCGTGTCCTCTACGTTGGCAGGTGGATTCTTAACCACTGCGCCACCAGAGAAGTCCCCATGGCTGAGTTTTAATACAGCGAATTTTTATCACTTCAGCAAGGACATCCTTAGGTGAAACTGGCATGTGTAGCAGTGAAAGATATTTGCTAAGATGCCAGCAGTTTCTCCCACCACTGGTTTTGCCCATCACTACAAATGGTAGCGCAACAGAAAGGGCAGATGACAGCTTAGTATTGTTTGGAAAATAGTTTTGATCTAATGGGTCCCCGAAAGGCCTCAGGGACCCCAGAGGTGTGCACACCACACTTTGAGGATCAGGGCATTAAGGGATGGCTCGCTGCCTTCAGTATTTGAGACTAAAGAGGTTTTTCTAACCTCCTGAAAAGAGCCAGGCTTCCTGGGACCACTGGCAAGGTTTGAAGCGGGGGAGAATGATTCTTCGTTTAATATTAAGAACTTTCACTGCCTCTCGTATTTGCCGGGTAAAGTATGGGCTTTTAAGAAACGTTCCTTTATGAATGAGCTGACACTTGCATGTGCACCTGTGTTCTAACCCATCTGTGTGCCTTTCATTCCTAGGAGAGAAGGTTGCACATGTACATAGTTTATTGTCAAAATAAACCAAAGTCTGAGCACATTGTCTCAGAATACATCGATACCTTTTTTGAGGTAAGACCTAAGTTACAAACAAAGTATTTCTGAATCCTTTGTTACAGTTCATTTCAAAAAGTTGAAATATCATTTGTTTCCCAGGACATTAAGCAATCCTCAGGAAATTTAGCCTCAGTTATATGAGTTCTGAACCTGTGTTTCTTTCCTATAAATCAGAGAAATGAGTGTAAATTCAAGCTGTGATCATATCCCTTAGTATTCAGAGGACTGGGGTCATGGTTAAAATAAGGGGTTTTAAAAATCAATTTCAAACTTAAGGCTCATTTCAAATTCAGAATAATTGATGATCTAGACTTTTAGCCGAGAAATAAAATATTTGTTTGTATGAATAAAAGAAAGCAATTGAGAGAAGGCCATTTTAGGCAAGCATTAAAGACGCTTTTGAAAAACAGCTCAGAAATCTTTCAGCGTCCAACTCGGACCTTCTGAGCGAAGGCACAGCACTTGTTGGTTGTGTGCAGCGTGGCATCTTTTCTCTTTTTTACTCTTTTCTAGAAGTAGTTACTTCTACTGCAGTGTAGTTAGTTAGCATTTCTGACAGTTACAGGGACTTTAAAAGACAAAACTTAGGATCCTTCTTTCTACTTTGGAACCACAGGACTTAAAGCAGCGCCTCGGCCACAGGCTGCAGCTCACAGACTTGCTGATCAAACCAGTGCAGAGAATCATGAAGTACCAGCTGCTGCTGAAGGTGAGGCTTTGCCGGTGCCCGTGCTGGGGGCGGGAGCCCGTTTGGCGGGAGGACAAGACTCGTGAGGGGATGGAAGGGTTTGGCAGGTGACGGCAATCTTTTCTATAAAAAATACGAAGCAGCCTTGTCATTTCTGATTTGAAATATTTGAGGAAATCTTTTAAAATTTACTAAGACACCTTACACTATCATTTACATCAGGTTCTGAGCCAAAGGGCCATGAAAGTGAGCTTTTTCCCCACCACAGAGCTTGAATACCAATGAGCTTTCTTGGGCTCTATCCACCTCACATATTTTCTGATCTTCTTGGGGCTCCAGATGAAATCAAATATTTAAGCCCTGCCTGTTCCTCTCTATGGGCTCAGCAGTGGCCCTTGATTGATTCAAACTCCTGAGCACCACTGAAGGCAAAGTCGCACCATTTTCCACCATAAAAGTGACTGTTAGAGGTGTTGAGATTCCTCCATGTATAAAACTTAGAACCTGGATGTAAAGAGAGATGAGCGCTTGTCTTGGAGTGAAACAGGAACCATGACCCGCTTAGATAGATCTGGTCTGACTTTGCTCTACTGTGCCTTGAAATACACAAAAGGATACCTTTTCTTTGTGTTACTGGGAGGAAAAAATGAGGATTACCCAGCGCCTGGCGTCTCAAGTGATCAAAAAGGTTACTGCTGTGCGACCATCACCCTCGTCATGCCCTTCTCTCCATTTCCCTTGCAGGACTTCCTCAAGTATTCCAAAAAAGCCAGCCTGGATACGTCGGAACTAGAGGTACTTAACACCCCCGGGCCCTGGGCTCCCCTCTCAATTCCCCGCGCGTCCCCAGCCTGTCCCTGGGGGGGTGGGGGCGGCGGGTGACGGCGGGTCTACCCAGCCCCGGATGTGCCCTCTGCACACCAGCGGGCGGGAACGGGGAGGAACTGATCTAGGAGCGGCATCTGAGGGTTAGCCTTGCCCTCTGGAACTGAACGCTCACTCTGCTTTCCCCCCACCCCGCCCCGCAGAGAGCCGTGGAGGTCATGTGCATCGTCCCCAAGCGCTGCAACGACATGATGAACGTCGGGCGGCTGCAAGGATTTGACGTAATGCGGCTGTTCTTCTTTAACCTCGGCCTCTGGCTGCCATCACTTTCTTTGGTCTCGGATTCTTTGTCTCCACCTGGAGAAAGCTGATCCTTTTTGCTTGGTTTTCTGGCGTCTCTCACCGTCCTTCAACCTGATTGATATTTTCTTTCACCTTCTTTTGGTGCATTTGATTTGCTTTGGGGGGGTACCTTCCTCTGCTCAAAGCCCAGCGCCTTGTGGCGGGAACAGGCAGGACTCTGCTTTGTCTCTTGGGCCCTCTGCTGCTGCAGGAGCGGAGTTTCCTTCCCTGGCATGAGGCGTGGTGGAAAGCAGGGGGCCCGTCCTTCTGTCATCTGTCAGCCTGGGAGTGGGACCCCAGGGTCCCTGTGCTCATCGTTAGTCTACAGACTTTCCTCTGAGTTGACAGTCTACTCAGATTACATATTACCTATTAGTATCCTAAAGATATTCAGAACCAGAAGCCTTTCTTTCTTTTGTTTTTTTTTTCAATTTGACTGTTGAGTAAGAAGACGGGCAGGTTTTACTTTTCTTGCCTACTGTTTTGCTAGAGATTTGGGTTTAACGTGCTGGTGCTGTGGTTCTCCAGAAAGCACACACAGGCTCTCCGGGAGAGCTTCTGAAAACCCAGGCTCCTGTGCTTTTGTGAGCGGGTCCCGCCAGGGGTGCTGGTGCCACCGGGCCGCGGACCGCACCTTGAGAAGCATTCTTCCACTGTGAACTAGATCCTTAGATCCACTTTCAGTCTTTGACTGTAACTGAGGCCAGTGATTTACACAGAGGTTGGCAAGAATTTTATTTAGATGATTTTTCTGTTTGGAGCTAAGACCTCATTTTAGTGAAAGAAATGTTTATGCTGTATAAATTAAGACAAGAAAAATATGTTTAAAATGTAGCATTCTGTGGGAGGAAAGCTAAAAAACAAAAAACAGAACTTCCTATGTCTTAACTTCGAATGCAATGTTTTCTTCTCCTATTTCTTTGCCCCCTTCTCCGTGTTCTAGGGTAAAATTGTTGCCCAGGGCAAGCTGCTCTTGCAGGACACGTTCTTGGTCACGGACCAAGACACGGGGCTTCTGCCTCGATGCAAAGAGAGGCGGGTGTTCCTCTTTGAGCAGATCGTCATTTTCAGTGAGCCGCTCGATAAAAAAAAGGGCTTCTCCGTGCCAGGATTCCTGTTTAAGAACAGTATCAAGGTAACTTGTGTTTGCCTGTTTTCTCATGGGTTAACGCATGTACCCATCATGCTGATAAACTGTCTCCTTCTTAATTATGACATGTCCTGATCTTCAGTTTATTAAATATTTAGAGAATTTTCTAATAACGTTTCAGAACCTTTAAATTCACTCCATCTGTCTACGGTCTGTGTTCCCCAGTGGCTGATGTCTTACACATGTGGCTGCAGCGTTCATTTTTACCATAATGAGAAGACCTCATCTTGGTTAGTTTTTGTGCTCCGTCTTCTCTAGGACCATGTAAAATTATTTAAGTTCAGAGGATAGCTTACCCAGGGTCGTCTTCTCTTCTCCATTCAACAAGGACCTGCTCTGCCCTCAGAGCTGGGCAGGGGCTGTAGGGATGGACAAGGTAGGTTGGCTTGCTCTCTGATAGAAGAAAAAGACAAATAAAATGACTGCAAATGGCCCTGAGTCTTGTAAAGGGGACAAACCAAAGGTGAGACAGAGGAGGCCTGAGGTCCCAGCAGGTTAACCTTTCTAGTTAACTGTTTAAGCTGCTAGTTAAACCCCTGGTCATCCCCATGTACCTGAGTTAAAGGAGCCATAAAAAAGCAAGACAATGATTTCTGAGGCAGTAAAAATGGCAGCTCAACCAAAAAGTGGTGGTTTGAGTTCTGACCTAGGATGAACTTCACTTTGCACTTGACCAGTGGAAATAAATGTGCTTTAGTTTTTTTATTGTGGTATCCTCGTAACATAAAATTTACCATCTTAACCATTTTTAAGAGTATAGTCCAGTGGCATTAAGTACATCCATATTGTCGTGCAGCCATCACCACCGTCCATCTCCAGGACCCTTTCCATCTTGTAAAAGTAAAACTCATCCTCATTAAACACTAGCTCCCCATTCCATCCCCCCAGCCCTGCAGCCACCCTTCTACTTACCGTCTCGAGGAATCTGACTACCCTAGGTGCCTCATCTAAGTGGAATCGTAACAGTGTTGTCTATGGCTGGCCCACTTCACGTAGCATAATGTCCTCCAGGCCCCCCCATGTTGTAGCCTGTGACAGAGTGTCTTTCCTTTTTAAGGCTGAATAATAGTCCTTTGTATATACGGACTGCGTTTTGATGATCCATTCACCTGTTGATGGACACTCGGGTTGCTTCTACCTTTAGGCCATTGTGACTAATGCTTTAATTTTTTTTAAGGTGAGTTGCCTTTGCCTGGAGGAAAACGTGGAGAATGATCCCTGTAAATTCGCTCTGACATCAAGGACGGGTGACGTGGTGGAGACCTTCATCTTGCATTCATCCAGTCCAAGTGTTCGGCAAGCATGGATCCATGAAATCAACCAAATTTTAGAAAACCAGCGCAATTTTTTAAATGGTAATGTGTGTTGTTACTGGGCACGTGTTTTCTTTCCCTAATGTACACATTCCTATTTCTCGTCTCTCCCCTATTACACACGACTAGGAATGACAGGACTTACGGAGCACTTACTGTGGACCAGGCTCTGTTCTAAGCATTGCCCGTATCTATATTGTTCCATTTCATCTTCAGAACGACCCAAAGTGGCAAGTAGTGATATTATTCCCATTTTATAGATGACGAAGCTGAGGCACAAAGTGGATGCGTAATTCACTCCAAGTCCCACGAGCTGCTGGTGGCACAGTCGAGATTCAGGGCAGCCGTGTGCCCCTCGCCACTGTACTGATTACTGTCCCACAGGCTCTCGTGCCACGTGCGCCCAGAACCCTGTCCTGGGAAAGAAATGCATGAGGAAAACCAAGGCAGCAGATGTCATTGGCCAGAGACGTTGGAGACATTCCTGCGTGCAGCTTTAAAATTTGTGTTTGATCACCTTGCACGTCTGCAGCACCCTCCTCATTATAGAAACGAGACATCTTCTTTCCTTCCCACCTCCACGACATGAGTGATTTTAGAGGAGCAATACAGTAATAATACAGTAGAACACAGGACAGTGGTAGGGTGCCAGCCACCTCAGGGAAAGGCCTTCTCCACAGGGAGAGTGACCGCACAGACCTTACGTTGCGGACAGTTCGACTCTTCATATTCCTGACCTGAAACTGCTGGCTTCTCTTGGTGGCCGCTGACTTGGACTCTGGTTTTAATTCGGTGATTGGTGAAGAGCGTCAAATTCAGTGAGAAGCTAGATACTCATTCAATGTCACGTCCTTGTCCTTTTCTCCATGTCCGTGTTCCGTGTCTACACCCCGGTCCAGTAGGATGCTGTAATCTCTCTGTCACATAAAACCACCCCCATATCTCGAGTGACATTCAGGAACACAGGCACTCAGTGAAAAGTCAAGGTCACGTGGCACTTTTGGCCAAGGGGTCATCAGCTGCCCGGGTGTTAACTCCAGGCTCCCGTCCAGACTGTAGACTGAGCATTTCTTCCATGTGCAGTTAGAACTGGATGGCTGGGGCTGGCTGGTGGGGGGACGGCTCCTGTGCATGGAGAAAATAGTTTTGCTCCCACGACTGAGAGCGAATGCAGGTCTCTTGAAACGTGTAGCTCTTAAGTACTGCATTGAATGCCAGTCCATAGCAGGTAACTACTGAGAAATCTCTAAACTTTTACCGTCTTCTTTAAAATAAAATGAACTGCCTCCCGAATTGCAGGCACGAGTGGGCCGTGCTGTTCACATTTCCTGGGCGCTCAGTCTAGAGACTGACGATACTGTTCCCGAGGGCTGAAGGAGGTCGGGAATAGAGTGGGCTCCAGGCCTGCTTCCCCACTTTGCTCTCCCGTTCGTCCTGTGAGCGGGGGCCACGGCCAGCACAGACCGTGTCAAATGTCGTATGGCTCCAGAATGCTCCTTCACATCTGCCTGATGCCTCCCAGGCAGGAAGGGGCTACATCTGATTGTCGCACGTCTCAAAGGTTTTAGCTCTTTTAAGAATTTGTGTTAGTTTCCATATATCTTATTGGGCGTGCTTCCTGCATTTTCCTGCAGGTGATGCTGTAACTGAATCACTAAAGCCCGGAGATGGGACAGCTTCACGACCCACAAGGGTTTGTGGAGCTCCTTCCCTTCCCGGGGTGGAGGTCTCTAACACCACCTCCGCGTGGGGTAACCCCCAGCCAGGTTCTTCTTTGCCTAACTGCTGCCTGGTTTAACGAAGACCTTTGCGGCAGCTGGGCTAAGTTTTCCCAGCGTGGGAGCCAGCTGGTACCGGTGGAGTCCCAGTTGAATCTCCCCTGGCAGCCCTGGGCCTCACCGTTGACCCTGGCCATCTGCCTGGGATGCTCCAGGCCGATTCCACTCCTTTTCACTTGGCGGGGATGCTAAGGCTGTGCTGGCTGCTCCTGGGTGGTAAACTTCTCCCCGCAGCAGCGCACCTCCTCCGTCAGCCTGCACTTCTGCTCCCTCCCGCCTCGCACACGCAGGGGCCAGCTTAACTCGTTCATGAACAGGAGAGTAGTTAAATTTAAGAGCTTTTCTTTTGCCTTCCCTCATGGGTGGTGTCAGCCTGCTGCCTGGAGGGTGGGTGGGTGTTTCTGGATGACCGTGACTGGAAGTTGGTGGCCACCCTGTGACTTGACCCTGGGCCATTAAGCCAGCGCTCCCTCTCCATTCATCGTGCCCCCTTTTCCCTCCGCCCCTGTGACCGTCCTTTTCTCGGTGCCCTGACTGAGTCTCTTCTGTGTCTTGCAGCCTTGACATCACCCATCGAGTATCAGAGGAACCACAGCGGGGGCGGGGGCGGGGGCGGCGGCGGGGCCCCCGGCGGCGGCGGCGGCGGCGGCGGCGGCGGCGCAGGCAGCAACCACAGCGGCGGCCCCGGCAGCTGCGGCGGCCTCCCCAGCGCGAGCAGAAGCAGGCCCTCCCGGATCCCCCAGCCTGTCAGACACCACTCCCCCGTGCTGGTCTCGTCTGCAGCCTCGAACCAGGCAGAGGCAGACAAGATGTCAGGTATGTCCGCTCCCGGCCCGCCACTGCCTCCTCCCAGCAGCAGCCCCGCCCTGGCGGCCGGCCAGCCCGCCAGGGCGCCCCCCAGCGGAGAGCCCGAAGGCCCCGAGCGAGAAGCGGAGCCGATCCCCAAGATGAAGGTGCTGGAGAGCCCCCGGAAGGCGGCTGGGAACGCCGCGGGCGCGCATCAGGATGGACCCGCCAAGGAGGCGCGGAGCGGCCCGGGCTCCCTGCCGCCGGGCAAGCCCAGGCCCGGGGCCATCTCGCCTCTGAACTCTCCTCTCTCCGCTGCGTTCCCCTCTCCGTTCGGCAAGGAGCCCTTGCCCCCCAGCAGCCCCCTGCAGAAGGGGGGCTCCTTCTGGAGCTCCGTTCCCGCCTCCCCCGCCAGCCGGCCCGGCTCCTTCACCTTCCCGGGGGACAGTGACTCCCTCCAGCGGCAGGCGCAGCGCCACGCGGCCCCCAGCAAGGACACGGACCGCATGAGCACGTGCTCCTCGGCCAGCGAGCAGTCCGTGCAGTCCACCCAGAGCAATGGGGTAAGAGCGCCCGGCCGCCTCCGCCCGCCCGCCCCGCTGCCTCTGTCCCGCGGCTCTTCTGCTAAACCTCCCGCGTGGCCGCCGCTGTCCTCGTACTAACTCTGGGCTCCCGGCCGCTGCGCTGCGGTCACCAGCTCCGTCCGCCCTGTGCCCTGGCCGCGCGGACACGCGGGGACGCCTTCTAACTTCCTGCTCCCGCCGGCGGACGGCGCGCTCTCATCTCTACTAACTCGCTCCTTGCTTTGTTTGTGTCTCCTTAATACGGGAAAGCAGATCATTAACCTTCCGAATGCAGCATCTCTAAGCCTCTCACGTTTTCCGAGCAGCAGCGTATCTGGGAACTCCCTCTCTCGCCCCTGCCTTCCTCGCACACTTTTATTAGGGGGGTCCGTGCCCCTGCTGTCTACCTCCTGCGTCAACTGAAACCTGTACACTCTAAGCTTTCTGCTCGTCGCTTGGTTGTGCCCTTTTATGCCTTAGATTAATCTTTGCAGCGTTTTTGACTCATCTGCTGAAAAAAGAAAAAAAAATCCCTCAAGAAATTTCCAACAGCAACTCAAAGCAAACTAAGCTGACACAGTGGGGGGAAGGAATCTCTCCAGTGGAAATATTTCCCCCCGCCCCCCCCCCCCAAAAAAAAGAAAGAAAAAGTTTCACTGTGGAAGAGAGAGAGACTGCTTTAGGGCCCCTGGATGTTGGGCTCCGGCCGGCGGCTGGGAGCGGAGGCGCAGGCAGGCTGGATTCCCAGCGCCCGCTCTCTGTCTGGCAGGGGGCGAATTGCGGGCTGCGGGCGCCGCGGGGCGTCGTGGATCACTATCCGCGTTCTTAGCAGAAGGGTTACTGGAGGGGCTTGGCCCCCATCCTCTGGCTTCCTCCCTGTCCTACCCGACTGCTTCCCACACGGCAGGTGGTGTGACCCGTAACACCTTCCTAAAGGCATGCGTGAGGGAATAGAACTGTTCTAACGCGTGTTTGTTTGATCGCTTTATAAATTTTTGAATACATTTCCCTAAAAGGGTCTGTGTCTCTCTTTATAAAAAAAAGAAAGGAAGCAATCCGGCTTTTGCATGTCTCTCTCTTTCCTCTGGACTTCCGTTAATGCCTTGTTTGGGTGGACATGGCCTTATTCGTTCCTCTTACTTTTTGTTATTTATTTTGTTACCCTCGGTCTTTAATTGAGGAAGAAATTGAAAAACGGGTCTTGGTACATGTACCCTGTAGTCTTATTCTCAGAAATAAGCGGTCAGGGCGGGCCTCCTCTGCGGTGGCCGTCACCAGCGTCCCGGTCGTGGTGCCTGACCGCGTCCTGCAGGGGAGCCTGGACCCCCACCTCCAGTTAGTTCTGAAATGCTAGGTGTGCAGGTGAGCGTCAGCACGGTTTCAGCCAGAGGAAGAGACGCAGAGGCCCAGTGATGCTGTACCTGCCAGCACCTGGTTGAAGGTTCAGGGTGTAGGCGTGGCCTCGCAGCCGAGGCCCCCTCCGAAATCGGCCAAGGGAGCAGCTCTTCAGCCCATCCTAACCTGGACGCTTTTCCCTAAGCGCCACCCGCCCCAGCGTGGGAGCCCGTGCTGGTGTCTGCGCCCCCCGTGAGCGTGCTCGGTTCCCGGCCCTGCCTGGCTCCCCCCCGGGATGCTTACCCTGAGGCCAGCACCGTCGCATGCGGCACACGTTCTGGCAGGTTTTAGGTCGTAAAAGGTGCCTTTTATTTCTGCCTCTCACTGTTTCTTATGTGGTTGGTGACCTGGAAAGGGAAACTGCCAGGGAGTCCAGGTGCCTTACAGAAACGCCCTGGAGGCCTGGGAAGACCACGAGAGGCTTAGAATGGGCCTGAGAGTGTCCTCTAGGACTCCTAAGTTTTTCGGTCAAGAAGAGCTACCGCCCTGCCTGCTCCCCCCGATTCAGACTGTCTTATCCCCCTGGCGGTCAGCAGCGGCCTCCTCCCTCCTTGTCTGCTTCCGTGAAGCTGTCGGCAGTCACAGCCCAGCAGCTGTGCCTAACCCACGGCCCAGGTCCTTCTTCCTCCTTTAACGCACACCTTCTAGAAAGTTCTGCTGAGAGCAGGAGTGGAGTGGATGTGGATCAGCCCAGGCAGTGACTGCGCCAGGCCCGAAACGTGGACGCACCACCTCCCTGCATCCGCCCACCCAGGCGGCAATAGAAGTACAGCCCTGCCTTTCTCTCAGAGGCCGGGTGACCCGTGCGAATCCCTAATCTCCACTGCGTAAGGGGTGGTGATCGTGCTCACTGGCATTAATTGAGATCCATTTTTAAATGCCTCATACTTAGATCGGTACATAGGAGGTTTTCAGAAAGTACTAATAGCTATCATTATCGTGGCAAAACACTCGCATTACGAGACAAAGGGTGGTACGCTATACGATAAAAAAGAGCCACGCCACAGAAGCTGGTTTTGTTTACATTTTCTAGCAAATGTGGCTTTGTAGTCTCAGTGCTGTTGGGTGTTGCTATAAAAGTCGCGCTAAAAGGATAAAATTGCGTGAAGGGGTGTGCACAGGCCAGCGCCCGACGTGGACATCCACGAGGGACGGGAACACGCACCAGACTCCTCAGCCGCGACAGGACCGAGAACCTGGCGCTCCGGTGTATTTAACTTCACCACCCACTGTGGGCCTGGAGTCCTGGCCCCCGGAATTCCCAGCACACAGGCTCCTTGACAGTGGTCAGCCGTCTACTCCGGTGTGTCTCAGTAGCCCAGAGCCGTCAGACGTATGGCAAGGTTGCTGACGGTCGCGCCTACACCGACCCAGGACCTGCCCCAGACATCCGAGAGACCAGCGGAGGGAAGCAGCGGAGTCCTGGGAAGCCGTGAACGGCCAGACAGCATCTTTGGTGGGAGCCCCTGAGAACAAGCTAGTGGGGCGCCTGACACCACTTCCACATCCCAGCTGTTGACAGAGGGGATTGAACAAGATGCAGCTCAGGCTTTGGAGGCCTCAGCTTCCTCTTCATCCCCTGGAACAAAGGGGTCACTTGGTAAATGACAGCTTGGGACAAACACCATTTGTGTCTCTTCTACTCAGCAGCTAGCACCACTCAGCTTGTGAACCTGAGTAGATGGTCTTGAGAAATGATCCGTGTTTAACTTTTGCAGTCTTGCTCCATTGAGTGAGATACTGGACATGTATTGAGTGCCTGCCACGTGCCAGTCACTGTGATGGACACTAAAGACACAGTAGTGACCTGAAGACATCGGGTACCACTGGGACTCCAAGATAAGGGGAAGATAGGCTTTCCCACGCCAGGGGCTGTCCGTGAAACTTGAGTTCTGAGGCCAGTGCTGTCCACAGCTGCTCTGCGATGCTCTGCTGTCCCCACGACGGCCGCACCTTCAGGACAGTTGAATCGTCACGCTCACAGGAGGACCACCCACCCGGGGATACATACAGGAGGCAGAGCAACTCTCCACGAGAGCAGGACAGTAGTTGGTCTGCTTTTCAGGTGCCCCGCATTCCTCCTTTAGAAGGGAAAAAAGGTGGAAATGATTAGCGATGCCAGCAGCGTGACGGTCACAGTGACAGGACTTTGACATAGATGGAACCCAGCGTGGCATCAGCATGAGGATGAGCCATTCCTCTGATGGTGCAAGGAAGATGGGACTGAAATAATCAAGCTTCCAAAGTAAAGTGTCATCATCACTGTGTCGTTCCTAAATTGCTTTCTAGAGAAATCCTGACGGTCAGTTACTGAAAAAGAGGCACCAAGTTAGCTAAAGAGTGTGGAGGCGTCCGTCCAGTGGGCCCTGCTCTGGGCCGTCGTGCCGTGGTGCACGCTGACGAGCGACTTCGTGTCATCAGATCCCATTTCAGTTCCCCTCTGCCTTTTTGTTCATCTTTCCCTCTACAGAGTGAAAGTAGCAGCAGTAGCAACATCTCCACCATGTTGGTGACACACGATTACACGGCAGTGAAGGAGGATGAGATAAACGTCTATCAAGGAGAGGTCGTTCAGATTCTGGCCAGCAATCAACAGAACATGTTTCTGGTGTTCCGAGCCGCCACTGACCAGTGCCCCGCAGCCGAGGGCTGGATTCCGGGCTTCGTCCTGGGGCATACCAGCGCAGTCATCATGGAGAACCCCGACGGGACTCTCAAGTGAGTGCCCGGCGGGGCAGCCGTGGCGGGGCGGGGGGCAGGCGGTGCTGAGCACAGACGAGGCATAGAGGCCCTGGGAGGGTGAAGCCCATTGAGAGAAAGCAGTGCTGTGGTCTGTTGAACCAGGTCATCTCTATACACAATGTGGAACGTTCCCGCAGTGAAGGTGGGGCGCGTTCCATCTCTCAGACCTGTTCTGATGGGTTCTTTTAATAACCTGCATTTGCACACACATAGCTTTTTTAAGCCGCTAGACAGAGCATCACGGTATTTTAGTTCCCAGAGGTCTTGGGTGAGGGGTGAGGACTTTCCAAGGGCCCCTGACTCGTATCGGGCACGCTGAGGGTGCATCACTGAAGATCCTCGTCCCGGGAGCTTCAGCTAAAGATCCGTGTGGTGCCACTGACAATGTGCCTTATGTATACTAGGTTACTTTAGTCAAGTAACTTGAAACCAATTTTGCCTTGTTAAACATTACTTTAAAGAAAACTGAATTCAGGGGCTGGTTTCAAACTCCACCCTTCCCTGAATCTCTCTGGCTGTAGGAGGCGCCAGCCAGGTGGCTTCTGGCAGTGGAAGCATTGCAAAACTGTGATTTTTAAGCCTCCAGAGGCTTCAACCCAAAAGACCAGACTCAAAGGCACAGGCGGCGGTCATGTTCCTCTCCAGGCATGGCAGTACCCCTGGCTGGTTTGCAGCCCAGACTGGCGAGCCTTCCAGCACCACCCCAAACCTCTGGGCTAAGCACCTATACCCCATGGGGAGTCCAGGCTTTGAGTTCAGGCTACAAAGAGCCCATCTTCCTTGACAGTCCCTTGTCCTGTTTCTCCTTGATACACAGAGATATTTTATTCTAGTACATTGTTCAAGAATCCCATTTTATACTTTGTTTCCTCAAAAATATTCTTAGGCCCTGTATTAGGGTTCTCCAGAGAAACAGAACCAGTGGGGGGTATGTGTGGTCAGCGGGTGGTTATTGTAACCACACAGTTGTGGAGACTGGTGAGTCCAGACCTGCACTGTGGGCCAGCAGGCTGGGGGCCCAGGAGAGCCAGTGGTGCAGGTAAAGTCTGAAGGTATTCTGCTGGAGAATTCCCTTGTGCTCAGGAAGGCTGGTCTTTTTTTGTTCAACTCGGGCCTTCAACTGATGGGATGAGGCCCACCACGCTATGGAGGGCAGTCTGCTTCACTCTACCAGTTGAAATGTTAATCTCATCTGGAAATACCCAGAATGATGTTTGACCAAATATTTAGGTCCAGTCAAGTTATACGTAAAATTAACCATCACAGACACCTTTATATTTAATCCTTAAAATTTGATTTAAGAAATCCGGCTTTTATCTCTGGTCATTGAGAATCGCAGAAAAGTTTTCCTTCGCTGAGATCCCTGTTCCTAAAGGAATCTCAGTCACCCTGTATCCGTGTAAATTGGACAGTCCGCTTTTCTCTGATGCTTTCAGGAATTGTTTGCTGAACACCAGGAAAGCGTAATACTAACAGTGTGTTGTGGTCCCCCTAGGAAGTCAACATCTTGGCACACAGCACTCCGTTTAAGGAAAAAATCTGAGAAAAAAGATAAAGACGGCAAACGGGAAGGCAAGTTAGAGAACGGTTATCGGAAGTCTCGGGAAGGACTCAGCAACAAGGTATCTGTGAAGGTGAGCAAGGGTGTCTCCAAGAGCCTGTGCTCCTTGGGGAGCACGCAGGGCTGGTGCCGGCCCAGGAGGAGCCGTCGCGGACCTGGCACCCAGCCTTGCCTGGCAGCAACCCCCCTCTCTCTGCCCTTTGAGCAGACCTGCAGGGCTTTGTAGGGCGCTCTCATGGGCAGTGTGGCGCAGGTATGCGTATGTATTCTGAGGAGCCGGGTATACGGGTAAACCCCTAAGCGGGTGCATGTGTAGCTTACAAAGAAGGCTGCTGGATTCCCAGCGGGAGCAGACGGAGCACAGAGCAGCTGTGGCTCAGACCACAAGGGAAGTGACTGGACACCAAGATGCAGGTTCACTGCTGCAGCGGATTCCCTCGGTGGGTGCTTCAGTCCACTTTACTTCTGTAATCAGATTGCCTTAAACCTGTGCAGGTTTTGCCTGGGGAGAAAGGAAACATCTCTTGAGGGGAGCTTGAGGCCCCTGAGTCAGGGCCCTGGGCATTCTGCGGAAGTGGGTGGTTCGGGGATCTGCTGGACTCAGCCCATAGGATGAGTAAAAGGGACTTCTCTGGGTGTAAGCAGCATTTGTGCGTTTGTGGGTAGGAAGAAAACTCTCTCCCACACCTGTGTGACACGAAGCCTTCCAGTGCATTCGAAGGCAGTCGGAATGTGGTCGGTTTTGATTGATACGCAGGCAAACCAAGCTGTGTTTCCTTTCATCTCTCAACAACTGTAGCCCTAGAATAGAAGCAGTATATCTTAGAGTAGCTCATGTATCTGGTTAACAGCTGTGCGCTTTTTCCATTTCAGCTTCTCAATCCCAACTACATCTATGACGGTGAGTTCTGTTCTTTTTCTTGTAGACTTTAGAGGGTAGGTCTACGGGGCATTTCAGGACACTCGAGTGTAGCCTGTGGACGTGGGTTTTCTGTGGAGCTCTGGGCCTGGGCAGCATCTCCTTCATTTGTTGGGGGAGGTTGGTGGGCACAAGAGGGGGCGCTGGGTGACCAGCGTTACTGACTCCTTTCTCGCGCAGTTCCCCCAGAATTCGTCATTCCCTTGAGCGAGGTCACGTGTGAGACAGGGGAGACCGTTGTTCTTAGATGTCGGGTCTGTGGCCGCCCCAAGGCCTCGGTCACCTGGAAGGGCCCTGAACACAACACCTTGAACAGCGATGGTCACTACAGCATCTCCTACAGGTGAGGGAAGCCCCCTCGGGGGTCAGTTTCACAGGCAGTGAGCATGACCTCGTTCCACTGGGACTGACGCGGCCAATTGCCTGGGTCACCTCTGGCCCTGGAACGTCTCCCGTGAAGGAAGGTGTCATACCTGGGTGTGCAGCTAGGATTGAAATCCCACTTGAAATTGCCCGTCAGCATTTGAGCTCCTCATTTCCTGTGACCCCAAAGGAGAGAGGTCGGGGGGCTGGCGGCGGGGAGAGCTGAGCCTTTCTGAACGCCGTGTGCCCTCCTCTGTGGCAGTGACTTGGGAGAGGCCGCTCTGAAGATCGTGGGTGTGACCACCGAGGACGACGGCATCTACACGTGCATCGCAGTGAACGACATGGGGTCAGCCTCGTCTTCAGCCAGTCTGAGGGTTCTAGGTAAGCTGCACCCCGAGCCCCACACACTCTCGATGTGGCCTGAGATACGTGACAAGTCACTCGGAGGCTGCACGGAGCAGGCCAGCCTCTGGGACACCCGGGGGGATGCCCTCGGGCAGGGGAGGCACACCGTGAGGGCTTCCGCCCACGGCCACTGAGCGTGTGAGCGTCTGGTCCAGCGTCCAGGTGGGAGCAGGGCAGCCTGTACTCCTAGTGTTCAAAACGTTCTCGTCTCCAGCTTCTCACTTGTCCGATGGTTCAGTTGATGCTTTAGTTCTAAGAGAAGCTCCTCTCAGTCAGTCTCACGTAGAATAGAATGGAAAGAAAGGAAAGATGGGAGTGTGGGTGAGCCCCAAGCAGGCTCTGTACCCGTCCTAGACCGTAACAGCCCTTCCAGAGGGTGTGTCCTCCCAGCCCTTCCATGAGCACAGGGCGACCCTGGTGGGACTAAAGCCCTTGCTCCCTCTATGCCCAGCAAGGTCTGATCTCTCTCCTCAGCTAAACCGTGAGCTGCTGGCAGCAGAACTCATATCTTAGACCTTTTAGAATTTCCTGTAGATGCACCTGACGTATGTACATGCTTAGTGAGCAACACATACTGACTGATTTCCAGCTACCATTTCACAGGAGGCCAGCTGTGCCAGCTATGCGGCCCAGGGCTGCTGAGATTTCTCCTGGGTCCTCCAGCTGCACCAGGTATAGGATGTACCTCCTAGAATGACAGTTAAAGAACTAAAATAAGTTAAGTAAATTAAACAAAACCAATTTTTTAAGACTATGGTAAGTAAATAAATAAAAGGACTAAAAGATGAATTGAGTCCAGGAGTGCCCTGTGTGTAGACAGTAAACAGAGTTGTCTTTAGAAGTTTATATGCTGTATATCTTAATCCCATATATTTTAACCTCATAAGTCAAAGAAGGGAAGGGTTCTGGTTTTGGATCACAGTGCAGGAAAGGAAGATAATTTTGAATTTGACAGTAGAGAATCACCAATGTTCTAATTTTTAAAAGATGTCACAAAAAGTATACAGGTGATTTTTTTTTTTTTTTTTTAACAAATCACTGGTGAAAGCAAGGGAGCTTAGGGAGACAGAAGGCTGTTCATAGGAATGGTCTTACGGAAGTGCAAATAATGGAAAAGCAAGTGTGTGTTTATTTCTGTCACATAAATCCATCTTTGTCTCATACGAAGTCCCAGCGCAGTGTGGATTTTATACTTCCGGTGCGTCTCCATTTCCACGAGCCTCCGTTCAGACGCTCAGCAGCCCGGGCAGCTGCCACATTGGACAGCGCAGGGCTCTAGTCTCCTTCCCCAAGAGGCGCCCCGTACACCAGGCTCAGGGAGACGCTGCCTTTCTTGCAGGTCCAGGCAGTGATGGCGTCATGGTGACCTGGAAAGACAACTTTGACTGCTTCTACAGCGAAGTGGCTGAGCTCGGCAGGTATGGTGGAAAACCCGCAGCCCCTCCCGAGATCGCAGAGTCAGAGACACAGCTCTGTAGGAGCCCACAGAGAAAGTTCAGTGGCGGATTTTGCCAGCAGTTGGAAGTTAGATGTATTACATCCGAAACGGAAGCGTGATTGCCTGTTGGTATTAAACGCTGAGGAAGTGAGGAAGAGATTGCCAGTGCAGGTTCCAGGAGAGAATCAAGGCTTCATACCGTGAGCCGTCCGGTGACGTGATGAGTGCACTTCTGCTCCGTGCCCAGGCAGCACTGGCTGTGCCCGTTCTCGGGAGAATCCAGGGAAGGGTCACTCACACCCCTTCTCGTGGCACATTATTCTCTGGAACCCAGTTGAGAGGGGCTGAATGTGTCCTTCAGGTCTCGGCTGTGCCTGGAGGTTTAGGGTCCCCCTGCGTAGACCAAGAGGGGGCTTCGACAGAGAGGGGCTGTTCCTCTTCAGACGGCAGCCAGGGCTCAGGTGGTGGCTCAGCGACGCCCTCCGTCACCCTGCTCCTTCTGAGGTGGCACGGCACTCAGCCACACCTCATGTCACGTCCCGTAGGGCAAGAAGAAGGTCAGAAGCATGACAGCTGAGCTTGTCCCCGTTAAAAAGCTTTCTGAGGACCCCCCGCCCCCGCCAGCAGCAGCCTCGTACACTCCGATGGCCATTCCGGGGTCCGCTGGCCCCAGGGATCCATGCACACGCCTGTGTGGATCAGCCCGAAGTGCCTGTCGGTCATCTGTCGCTGCACGAGGCTCAGCCCTGCTGTCCAGAGCAGCAGAGATGTATCACTTTGTGCAACGTGCCACTGACCGGACAGTTACTCTCTTGGTCCCTCCTGGGCTCGGTCAGCTGGCACCCCCATGCCTCGCCCGCGTGTCTGTGGCCTCTGTCCACATAGACGTTCACCCTGGGCCTCCTCGTGTGATGGCAGTCGCAGCCCGGGAGAGCAGAAGCAGAGGCTGCAGCCTCTCAGGGCCCAGCTTCAGAAATTAACCACACTTTGTCCACATTCTGTGGACGCAAACAGCCACCACCCAGCCCAGATTCAAGGGAGGAGAAAGAGACTCCGCCTGTCCGTGGGAGGAGGGGCCAAGCAGTGTGCCCACCTTCCTCCCCGCAGTCTGCATTCCCCAGCCCCCAAATCTCATCCCACCGTGGCAGCCGGCTGAGGCCTGAGGTCCAGGATCTTGTTATCCGGATCCAGTCGAGGTGCAGCCGAGGCTTCCTGGGTGCGGTTCGCTGGGTGCAGCTCCGGAGACCACAAACTAGAGATGAGTTACCAGCCCCCCGACTCACATCCTGCAGCGGCAAGGCAGACACGGTGATGACAGTAGATGCTCCCATCCGAAGTGGAGGGCATGGGGTGCCCAGGAGCCACCTAGTAGTCCGTTCCAAGCTTCTTCATGTGACGAGGTTTCCACGAGAGCAAGGTGGAAGCCGCCTGGTACATCTCACGATGTCACTGCTGCTCCATTCAGCGGCGGCAGGAAGTCACGTGGCTGTCCTTAGCCAGACGGAGCCCACCTCTGGGAGGGGAGGAGACAGGACAGGCACAGGCATGGGCAGGCTTCCTTGGGGCCGTCGCGCGGCTGCAGCCCCTCCACTGGCGGCCGGGGAGAGCAGGGCTACCAGCTGGGGAGGCTGCCTGGGTTAAAAGAGTCTTTTCTCCGTGACACACTCAGAGTCCTCTGAAAATGACCTTCTCCACCTGTCTTCCAGGGGCAGATTCTCTGTCGTTAAGAAATGCGATCAGAAAGGCACCAAACGAGCAGTGGCCACTAAGTTTGTGAACAAGAAGTTGATGAAGCGCGACCAGGTCACCCACGAGCTTGGAATCCTGCAGAACCTCCAGCACCCGCTGCTGGTTGGCCTCCTCGACACCTTCGAGACCGCCACCAGCTACGTCCTGGTTCTGGAAATGTGCGTACACGCCAGCTGCCTCTCCTCTTTCTAGCGCTCGGCCTCGACTCCAAGTGGTCTTGCTGTTTATTCTCTAAGAAGTATAGAAATCAGGATGTTAGGATTCACAGAACTTCTAAAAAAGCACGTCTGCTCTCAGAGACCACAGTTCTAGAGCTTTCCAGCAATGCTAGAGGGAAGTACAGCTGCCTGACGAGGAAGCACAAACCTAGCATCCAAATGCTCCCCACCCAGGCTCCTTCGGGGATCTCAGCCAACCTGGAGATGCCTCCTGGTTCCCAAAGGTCCCGAGAGGCCAGGCCTCTGCGGACCACAGCCCTGCTCGTGCTCTCAGGCTGACCTGGTCCCACGTGTCTGCCCAGCTGGGCGAGCCCGGCTGGTGGGCGCCTGCAGTGGGCCGGCTGAGACCTGCTCGCGTCTGGTTGCTTCAGCATGCAGCTCTGCCCCGGGGCCCGTCCTGCCCCTCCAAGGGTGATTAGAATGGGAGCGTAGGTGCGCCCTCTGGAGGGGGGTGGCTCCCCCCAGGGCAGCCTGCTGGTCCCCGTGGTACTTGCTGGGCCCTGTGTGCCATCTCAGGAAACATTTGCGTTGTTTAAAGATAAAGTGTGAGAGCTCTGACCCAAGAGCAGGGGGCCTCAGCCTGGGGACATTTTGCCCCCCAGGGGACATTTGGCAAAGTCTGCAGACGTTTTGCTGGTCACAGCTCACCGCCCCGCAAGGCACAGGGCGGCCCTGCAACAGAGGACCGTTGTCCCAAAGTATCAGTAACACCGGGTTGAGAAGCCCTGCCCTTAGAACATTCTGGTCTCTCTGAGACACCTCGTCATGTAGCTTTGTTGAATGTCCTAGTCCTCCTTTTCAGGGGGAGTCATTTCATACATTTCCTTGGATTCCTGAGTCTGTTTCCATCGGCCGGAGCGCCATCTTTTGTGCCATTTCCTAGTTCTTTTTTTTTTTTTTGGCGGTACGAGGGCCTCTCACTGTTGTGGCCTCTCCCGCTGCGGAGCACAGGCTCCAGACGTGCAGGCCACGGCTCACGGGCCCAGCCGCTCCGCGGCACGTGGGATCTTCCCGGACCGGGGCACAAACCCGTGTCCCCTGCTTCGGCAGGCGGACTCTCAAGCACTGCGCCACCAGGGAAGCCCCATTTCCTAGTTCTTGACACGTTGTTGGGAAGAGTGGGCCTGGCAGGAGGGCCAGCTGTGGAGCCGCGCGGGGCGTGGTCACAGGGACCGTGAGCTCCTCGCTCGCGGGCACTCCCTTGAGGCCCCGCACCCGCCATCCCATTGGTCACATCCGTAAAGACTTTGGAAGTGCCTCCGCATCACAGCCTTCACGGGGGCAGCTGCTGCAGGGCCCTCGGCGCCAGGTCGAGCCTCAGCCTCGCTCCCTGCCGACCCCGGGCAGGGGATGTTTCGAGGGTGTCCCCGCCCAGGGCTCCCGCTGGAGCATCTCTGTGGGCCTGTCCAGCCATCTCTCTGGCCTAGCAAGCCTCCCAGATGGCGGAGGGAGCAGGAAAGGCCTCCGCCCTCCCCAGCCGCCCCCAAGGCTGGCCATCGTGTGTGAAGGGCAGGTCGGCGGACCTGGGGCTCATTTCTCAACCTCGGCTCCCGTGGATGCTCAGCGGCTTGAAGGATCATTATGGGGCTAAAACGATGTCCAGGCAGAGGCCTGGCCCCTGTGGGCCCTCAGTACCGGGGAAGGTGCTTTCTGGCTCTAGAAGCTTGGTGACTAAAAGCCTCTGCGTATCTTCCCCAGGGAGTTTCACCAAGAAAGAGAGTCCTAGAGTCCTTGTCAGAAATCTCCTGCAAGACCTCGGTTTCTGGTTTACATTTTCAGTGCATCCAGCTGTCATTTCTTTTCGCTGGAAATTAAATGGTTTGGCCTCATCATTGCTGTTAATAGGGTTAATTTTTGTAACAGACTACTTACTACCGAAGTTCCCTTGATTACTCGACATTACGAAACAGGTGGCTGATCTTTCCATAAATTTCTGTTTTGCAAAGAGGGCAGCCTAGCCCATTGTTCAGGGAGGCCGGGGCCAGACCACCTCCTTGCAAGTCTAGCCTTCCCTTATGAGCTGTGTGACCTTGGGAAAGTTACATACCTTCTCTGTGCCTCCATTTCCTCATCTGTAAAATGGGGACCATAAAACACTCTTCCCAGAGAGTTGTCGTGAGGATTAAGTGAATTGATAGAAAGCACTTAGTCCCTGGCACAGGGCTGCTCTGTATAGGTGTTTTTTTAAATGTTAAAAGCAATTTCACAGTAGGAGGACTTTGAGTCCAACGTGAAGCCCTCACTGTATTGTCCGTGTCTTAACGTTCTCTCGTTCAGCCGTCACATGACCCGTTTTCCAGACGACGAGACTAAGGCTTGGGGAGATGGTCTCACATTATCCCCTCCTCCAGCAGCCTGCTGGGGGCGGGGTTGGGGAGCCTGGGTGCACCCATCTCTGCCTCCCAGTTTCTTCTGTGGGTCCAGATGACGTGTTCCCCACTTGTGCCTCCACGGTGAGCTTAAAAAGAAATCGCCCCCTTGATCCCGTCCTGCCTTCAGGTAGAGGTGTGATCCCCAAAAGTTGACAGAACAGTGACAGCGGGGCACGGAGGTGATGCGTATATCACAGGAGACGGGTCTGAAGTGACCGACCCGCACCGTAACGCACATTCCTCCCTCCGCAGGGCTGACCAGGGACGGCTCCTGGAATGTGTGGTGCGATGGGGAAACCTCACGGAGGGGAAGATCAGGGCATATCTGGGGGAGGTTCTGGAAGCCGTCCGTTACCTTCACAACTGCAGGATAGCACACCTGGACCTAAAGGTTAGTGGGGCCCCGGGGACGGGAAAGCCGAGGGACCCCAGCGCGGCCATGCGGGATGCAGAGCCCACTCTCGGCCTGTCCTCTGAAGCCAGGCCAGGAGCCCGCGGGGACTGGGGACCAACACAAGGGGTGGGAGATGGGAGCAGTGATTTCTAATCTCTGTTTTTAAACGTTGGATATACACAAACAATAAAGTACCAGGTAAACGTGTGAGCTCTTCAGACATTTCTTGCGATTTCAGGGGGTTCCTGTGAGTGTCGCTGGGTCGGGGTGGGGCTGGAGCAGGGTGACGGAGGCAGGAGGCGGAGGGTCGCTGCTGCCGCCGCCGGGAGGGAAGTGAATCCCCGGCTTCACTCACTGGCACAGTTTAACACAGCAGCTGCGCGTGACAGTTGCGGAGAAGTCAGGGCAGCTTCCCCTCTGGTTTGCCTCTCTGTCCTCCTCCCGAGGGCTTTGTCCTGCTTCGCACGTGGACGGTCGGCGCCAGTCGACCTCGTAGATTCCTGGTGAGCCTTGCACCTCAGCTTGAGATTGGGGTTGCCGGAGTGGATGACGGTTGTCTTGTCCTGTCTCCTAGCCCGAAAACATCCTAGTGGATCAGAGTTTAGCCAAGCCAACCATCAAACTAGCTGACTTTGGAGATGCTGTCCAACTCAACACGACCTACCACATCCACCAGTTACTGGGGAACCCCGAATTCGCAGCCCCCGAAATCATCCTGGGGAACCCGGTCTCCCTGACCTCGGACACGTGGAGTGTTGGAGTGCTGGCCTATGTGCTTCTCAGCGGCGTGTCCCCCTTCCTGGACGACAGCGTGGAAGAGACCTGCCTGAACATTTGCCGGCTAGACTTTAGTTTCCCAGATGACTACTTCCAAGGAGTGAGCCAGAGGGCCAAGGACTTCGTGTGTTTCCTCCTGCACGAGGACCCTGCCAAGCGTCCCTCGGCTGCGCTGGCCCTCCAGGAGCAGTGGCTGCAGTCGGGCCACGGCCACGGCAAAGGCGCGGGCGTCCTCGACACGTCCAGACTGACCTCCTTCATTGAGCGGCGCAAACACCAGAACGATGTTCGACCGATTCGTAGCATTAAAAACTTCTTACAGAGCAGGCTTTTGCCTAGAGTTTGACCTATCTTGAAGTCCTTTCTCATTCTCTTTCACCTGCCAATCAGCTGTTCATTTGAATTTTGAAGAGAAACACAAACCAACATAACTGTTCAGCTGCCGTGCGTTCATCGTGTGAAATTGCATTCCCAGTGAGCTGTGCTCGGCAGTGCCTGGGACTCGGGCTGCAAGCTGTGCTGGGGTGGAGGACCTTCTCGAACACTCTGCGGGGGCGGAGACAGCATTGCTGTGTCACAGTCTTTTATTCAGGTTTCTGCAAAAAAAATAAAAAGAAACTTTTTTAAACGAACATGAGTAGAATTTTGCAAATTTAACATTTTCCAGGATTTCTTCAAGGAAGCGAAATGCCTATGTTCAACCACTGGTGTTAACGAACAAAACAGAGATACTGGACACCTCTGGGGAAGACCCCGGCCCCAGCGGCGGCCGTCTCCGTGGCCTCGTCCAGCTCGGGGTCCACCTGGCTCTGAGCTTTTCCAGCTGCCTGGTCTGTGTGCCTCTGGCCCCTACGCCAGACTAGGCTTCTGAAACGTGCATTCAACCTCAAACTTTTGCATAAAAATAGAATGAATCGTTTTGCTCTGATGAAATGTAGGCCTTACTTGTATATAAGACTGGTCCTGCCTTCGGTCTGTCCTTTCCCCCCACTGCCTTCCCCCACCCCCACCCCCCCGCTCCCCGCCTCCTGCCCGGGGCTTCCTTTGGGGGTCCGAGGGGTCTGCCCACCCACCGAGGACATCAGGTTGGGTCCTGCCCCTCTGCCCCTCCCCACACGTCCCACCCCCAAGCCGTCAGTCAGATTGTTGAGCAGTATACAGTCAGATGAAAATACTGTAAATGCACTCATTGGGGTTTTTTTGGTTTTATTTCATATCATGTGCAATGTTGTGGCTTTAACATTTTATGCAACTATTTATGAAGACCTCTGTTGTACCTGTAATAAATATATAGAAAAAGCACATACTTCGTACGGTGAGCTTTATGGTTTTGTGCGTGTGTCGGGGGGTGGGTGGGTGGGGGTCTTTGCCCTGTGCCATCGGTTCAGAGGGACTTAACTCTTCGTGAAATTTGTCAGTTTTGAGGACTGTAAAAAGTGATTTCATACTCTGAATATAAAACTGGATAATAGGGTAATGTTTTAAATTTTATTATGCTATTATTCAGAATGCCAAAGCATTATTTTTTTTCTCCCAAAATCAGTCTGGACATTTCCTACTTTTTAGACTTTTTGACATTCAACTTTCAGTACAAAAATTGGCTGGATTTTGAGCTTTTGGTAAGAAATAAAAGCCAATCAAGCAGTAGCCGCCTTGAGGCTGGCATTGGCGTCTGTGGCACTGTGGCAGAATTCACGCTGGTGTGGGAGGCCCTCAACAAAAGACGCTGCGTTTCTGGGCACGCTTGAATTTTTCTGGATGTCTTTTTATCCTCGTTGTGTGAAATACACTAAAAAAAAAAAAAAAAAAAAACCCGCTTCCCAAGCCAGCCAGATACCTGGGTCTTCAGCCATGAACTGGCATAGTTGAGCTTTGCAGCTTCCAATGTATTTTATTTATTCTTTTGTTGGGTTTTTGTTTGTTTCTTGTAAAATTGTACAGAAACTTTTTAAAAGAAATTGGATTCAAAACTGGATGTGTATTCGTAACCTCACAACTTTTATTTGTGTATTGTTTCTTTTATTATTTCAGTTAAATTTTTACATTATTTTGCATGTATATTTCTTTGTACAGAGACCTTACATGTTTACACAGTATGATGTGATGTAAATATTTTATTTTGCCATCAGTTATTTTAAAAAATTAAACATATTTGCCTGATTTTTGTGTTAGGCCTTTTATTCAAGTTGGTCACTGTTGAATCAAAAAGCGAGATCAATGAGGGAGAGACTGAAGGAGAGGCCTCCGGTGGGTCAGGGGAGGGGCGTGGGGAGGAGAATATTCTGGATTGGGAATCCACTGCAGGCCACCAGAAACGGGAGTCGGTCATACCCCTGCATACTGGTGCACAGCCCAGACTCAGAAGGTACTGGCGTGTAAACCAGAACGTCAGCTGACTGTTTACAGAGACGCTGCACTGGTCCTGGTTAGAATAACTAAGGTACCCCCGCTTCTTGAAGAACGCATAATCAGAGCAAGGGGAAAAGTTGTTGCAACTTGGCCACAGAAAAGCAAAATTAATGCTGTTCAGATGGATTAAAGCACATGAAACACTAGGTTCCAGCACCTGCATTAGGAACAATCCCAAGAACCCACACCTGCGAAGACATCCGCCCCCCCCCACCCCCAGTGGTGGCTTCTGCCTGCTTCTGACAGCAGGTCATCTTTCCTGCTGAACACTGTCATCTCTCGGGTTTTGATTCCTTTTTGCTTTCTTTTTGGACTTGTTCCCCCTGGGATCGTGACTCTTTGCTCAGCACATTCTAAAGGCTCTATTTTTCATCTGTTTGATCCTGAAGTTAAGACAAGTGTGAGAGGATGACATTTGTGCTAAGACCCCAAGTCCGGGCGTGGGAAGCTCGCTCCCCCTGAGGTGTGTGCCTCCTCCCGGGTGCCAGGACAGCGGTGCTCAGTGGGCCCTGGAGGGACGGAAATACAGGGTCAGTCCTGATACGCCGCAGCAGCTCGGCGTCAGGCCCCAGGAGGAGTCCTGTGGCCACCACGTGGCACACCTCAGCAGCAGGAGGGAGGCAAGGGTCTGCTGTTTTTCAATCGGACACTTGTTGAAGGAAGTAGTTATGCCTGCGGGTTAGCAAAGCATCCCACGAGTGAAAAGTGTCCTGTCATGATCACTACCTAGATTTCTCAAATAGCAAAATATTATTCTGCATGTTACTCTCTCTCTCTCTCTCTGTCTTTCTCGCTCTCTCTCTCTCTCTCTCTCTCTCTCTATATATATATATATATATGTATATGTATATGTATTTTAATCCAGGCATTCTCTTTAGTTCTAAAGGAAAAAAGATTACCAGTATTTTTGTGCAATAAATTATGAGTATCATAGCAAGTCATATCCAAAGAATATTAGACCATTGTAGACCATTGGAAGGAAAGGCCTTTCAACTGTACATCTTTGAGACATAACTATAGAGACAAAGAATCCGTGGGATTGATAGGTTGCTCTGTGTGTGAGTGTGTGTGCATGATTTAACTTACAAAAAATAAAGTACACAGACCATAAGTAAATAGCTCAATACATTTCTATACATGTGTTTGTACCTGTGACCATCACCCAAAGCAAAATAGTCCAGTGTTTCCACCGTCCCCCAGAAGATTCCTCCAGCCCCTTCCCAATAGGTCCCTACCTGCCAGAGCTGATGGCTGTTCTGATTTCTATCACCCATGAATTAGTTTGCCTTTGAACTTCACGTAAGTAGGATCATCTAGTATGTGCTTTTCAAAATCAAGCTAAACTTTTTGTTGTGAGATCTCTGTAGTCACATGCAGTTGTATGAAATGTACCCTTCACCGAGTTTTCCCCAGTGATAACATCTTGAAAACTCTTAACACTGTGTCACAACCAGGATTTTGACGTCAGAACAGTCAAGGTGCAGGGCATCCCATCGCCACCAGGATCCCTCCTGTTGCCCTTTTCTAGCACACTCACCTCCCTTCTGCCTTTAACCCCTGCCAACCAGTGATCCTTTCTCTATTTCCATATCTTGTCACTTCCATAATCTTACATAAATGGAGTCATATACTACATAACCTGAGATGGATTTTCTCACTGAGTGTAATTCTCTGGAAATTCACCCAGGTTGTGGATATCGAGTTTTCCTTTTTATTACCAAGTGGTATTCCACAGTGTGGATGTACCATAGTTTGTTTAACCATTCACCCATTGAAGGGCATCTGAATTTTTTCCAGCTTTTAGCTGTCACAAGTAAAGCTTCTATGAACATATGTGTACAGATTTTTGTGTGAACATACGTCGTCACTTCTCTGGCATAAATGTCAGACAATTGGCAGATCGTATGGTAGTTGCATATTTCATTTTTATAGGTTTGCTAAAATGTTTTCCAGACTCTACCATTTTACATTCTCACCAGCAATGCATGAGTAATCCAGTGTCTTCAGGTCTTTCCCAGCATTTGGTGTTGTCACTGTTTTGGCCAGGGGTAGAGGGGGCATTCTGGCAAGTGCATAGTGACATGTTATTGTGGTTTTAATTTGTGTTTCCCTAATGGCTAGTGATGTTAAACATTTTCCATGTGCTTAATTGCTATCTGTTTATCCTCTTCTGTGAAATGTCTCTTCGTGTCCTTTGCCCATTTTCTCATTGGAGTCTTTGGCTTTTTATTGTTGAGTTTTGAGAGTTCTTCATATATTCTAGATACTAGTCGTTTGTCAGAGATATGATTCACAAATATTTTCTCCCACTCTGTAGTGTGTCTTTCAGTTTTCCAAACAGGATCTTTCATAGAGAAAAAGATTTTAATTTGATGGAGTCCTACTCACCAGTTCTTTCTTTTCTGGATCAAGCTTCTTGGTATTGAGTCTAAGAACTCTTTACCTAGCCCTACATTGAAGCTTTTTCTCCCAAGTTTTCTGTTTTTTCTAAACGTTTTTAAGTTTTACATTTAAGTCCATGGTCCATTTTGAGTTAATCTTTGTATAAGGTATGAAATATAAGTCGAGGGGTTTTTGTTGGGTTTTTTTTGGTTTGTTTTCTTGCTTTTGTTTTGCAGATGGATGTCGAGTTGTTCTAGCACTGTTTGTTGAAAAGGCTACCCTTCTTTGATTTTGTTAAAAATCAATTGGGCCCATTTATGTAGGTCTATCTCTGGGTTCTCTGTTCTGTTCCACTGATCTAATTACCTGTCCCTCCACTGAAACCACACAGTTCTGATGACTGTTGCGATTCAGTAAGTCTTGAAATCAGGTAGACTGTACTGCTCCTCCCACCACTTTATTCTTGTTTTTCAAAATTGTTTTAACTATTCTAGTTCCTTTGCCTTTCCATATAAATTTTAGGATACTCTTGTTTTTATCTACAAAATACCTTGCTGGAGGTTTTGTAGAAATTGCGTTAAACCTGTATATCAATTTGGGAAGAATTGACATCTTTACTATGTTGAGTCTTCCAATCCATGAATACACTGTAGCTCTCCATTTATTTAGATTTTCTTTGATTTCTGTCATCAGCATTTTGTAGTTTTAAAATTTCTTGTATATGTTTCATTAGAATTATACCTAAGTATTTCTCTTTTTTTAAGCAATTATAAATATTGTATTTTTTCTTTTGGTGTCCATGAATTCATTGCTACTATTCAAAATACAATTAATTTTTTAATGTTTATCTTTTATTCTACATATTTGCTAAACTCACTGGTTCTAGGTGTTTTTGTAGATTTCTTAGGATTTTCTACATTATTATGTCATCTGCAAATAGAGAACAGTTTTATTTCTTCAGTTCCAATTTGTATGCCTTTTATTTCTTTTTCTTTCCTTATTTCACTAGCTACAACTTCTAATATTATGTTGAATACAAGTAGTGAGAGCAGACATCCTTGTCTTGTTCCTCATCGTAAGTGGAAAAGCATTCCATCCTTCACCATGAAATGCAATGTAAGCTATAGATTTTTATAC